GCACGCGAATATCGCCTGGATACAGGGTGCAATTTATACGTGCAGAGGCTCAATAAAACGCAGCCGTGTGCAAATTTTAACAATAGGTGCGGGTTCGACGGAGCGGTATCGATCAGTCGGAGAGCTTTTGTCGCGCGCGTACGGGATAGTCAGCTATATTTGTCACGGAAGTAGCGCACCTGAGGCTCCAAGTAATCATTTTCGAATATCGATGTTAAAGTCGAAAAAATATTGGTAGCCGTTTTTCGATGAATTTTTTTATTTCGTCTACGTAGAACTAAATTGGTGCTCCTATAATATTATTACGTGGCCTTTGAAAAAATGTTTAATTAAGACCGATGGAGTACTTTCTATCTTCCAAATGGCTTTTTCTACCACAGAGCTTGGGAATCACAGTAACACTCTCGCTCCAATAGACCACCGCGCTGTAAACTCGTTACGCGAGCGATAATTTGCTCGACGAGATTTTATAAAAGTCGCGATTAAGCTTCCGACGCCGATAGAATTTCTCAGCCGGAAATCGAAACGAGGCTGCACGCTTTAACTCCGTTTGTTTTGGCGTGCGAGAGCTTTGAATTTATCACGTAAATTACAGATTGAGATAACATACAGTCTGTTGCAAGCTCGTGAATCAACTCGTATCTTTTTTATGTGATATTTCAAGTTAAAAGAAAAAAAAAACCTCTACCGTCCTAATGGGTACGAAACGCGTATAACCGAGTACTCTGAAATATCGCCCTGCACCGCATATAATTTAATTACACCTGGGACGAGTCCGCAGTTGTATACGGGCATTTAATCCCATTAGTAACGATACGCTGGGCTCGTGGAGCGATAATTTCCAAGATTATCCCGATCCGAGAACACCAATGGTATACTGTAAAATTTCTCGACTGCCATTTAATTTGATTACGCGTGGGGACGAAGCAGTGCATCGTTTCTGAATTCTAGAATTAATGATAGTCGAACAGCAATACAACAGAAAAACGGAGATTCAGCTTTCATCAGCTCCAATACACCCCTTGCACATCCCCCACACAAACATTATTATTCCGTAAACGCGTGCGGTTCTCTTCTATACACAAATGTGTAGTGCAAGGCGTATAATTGGCCCCGATAAGCGGAACTAATGACCGCGACAAGCGGAAACACGCGACAAGCTTTTGTATACGTGTATATATATATATTATTGTGTATAATGTATATAGTATATTATGTCGCGTGAGCACGCGCCTTGTACTTTATAGCTTGCAAATAGGAGGGTGGCAGCGGAAAACTGTGCATAACGTTTTAGGTCGTCCATGAGTCCGTGTCGAAAATGAGTTTTTTCAAACACCGATTATAAATAGCAACCAATGCGTTTTTTTTAATTTTAGCTTGGTTAATTAGAAAAAAAATCATCAAGTCTAAAATTGTGGGTCTATTTTGATTTTAAATCTTATTTTTATATTAATTATCATCTTTTAAATTTACAAGAGTATCATTGAGTAAAAAAATATTATATGCTTCGCTCAATGTGAACTAAAAAATATTTATGATATGTTTTTTATATATGATATATTAAAAAATTTTCCATTGATTAATTATTTACAAAGGGTGAAAAGTAGAAAATCCCATTAGGTAAATTAAAAATATCTTCACTCTCCATAGACGATTACTATGTCGTAGATTTATAACTTTTTAACCAATACGATTTTCACATTGTCCCTTCTGTAAATGAAATACATATGTTTTAAAAAATAAAACAAGCCTTGCATGAATTTAAAATCAAACAAGATTTGGATAAATTGTCATGGTGATTGAAATTTTTGGGTGTATCGCGCGGAAGGGTCCAACAGAAAATACTCCATTGTAATCAAAGCAAAGTTAGAAATATTTAAGATTCACACGACGATTTTGGAAAAACAAATAATTGGTCTCACTATTGAGTATAAAAGAGATATCAAAAACTACCGCTCGGTAGAGGCAGGGGCAGCCCCAACGCGTCGGAAGAGTGTAAAGGTATAGGAAATTCGGCACAGTTTCGCGGATAGCGTTTTCGTGACACACAGCCGGCGCGGATCGATCCACTGGCTCGCGGAAGTAGGTGAAAAAAGCCGTCGGACAGCAAGAGAGAGAGAGAGAGAGAAAGGGAAAAGGGGGAGGCCGATTTATCCTCTCAGAGCCCCTGTAAATGATGTATTTACACAAGCTAGTGCAGTGGCTCGGAGAAAAGCGTGGTGGTGAATTTTTCAGACCCACATCCGTCCGCTGAGCTTTTCCTTGGAGGAGAAAATAATATTCGCCTCGTTGGCCGTGCTGCATTAGCTTATCCTTTTTTACTTTTTTGCTTTCGCTAGCAGGTCGAGAAAGTTGCACGCAAAAAAGAACAAATCAAGGGATGCGCCGTGGTCGAGAGGGCCATTCCGATGCTTTTAACTTTATTAAAGATCGGTCTCTCGTTTCCTTGCACCGTGCTGTAGATTAATTGCCTTGTTCTCTTGCACGGTTGGTTTGCTTTTCTTTGTTTCTTTTGATGAACAACTAATCGAGAAGTTGAACAAAGGACAAAGAGAGAGAGAGAGAGAGAGAGAGCAAGATGATGCCTAGTCTCACGAGCGGCTTAAAAGGCATTATAAGTGAGTGTTGGTATTGTATACCTTTTTTTTTCTTTGCGTTTTTTCAGGTGGTCGTTTTTTTTGTAGTATTTAAAGTACTAACAACATGACATCAGTAAATCGAATAAAAATCAGGCAATAAATTACGTCATTCGATCATTAAAATTTATCTTGAAAATCTGAAATTATTGTGCATCACTATAACCAATAATTTTTTAGAGAATGAAATTTACCTTACAATATTTGAAAAATGAATGCCACTATAACTTTGAAAGTGATGTATCGACAAAAAAATCACTAATACGGAGCAAAAAAAAAAAGCAAAATTTTAATGGATTTCAACTACATCATTTTCACCACACCCAATCAATAAAAGTCTTATGAGAGTCCAATCGAACCGACAGCTTGCAAAATCCGAAGAATAAAGAGAGAAAATTAAACCTCCCTCACAACCCCTCCGGGCGAACAAATCCTCTCCTCTCCTGAAAGCCCATCGTTATTAGGGCCATATCCCTGGTAGGTCGGGAAGCTTTTTTGTTTTCAACTCTTCAACGATCCTCCCTTTTATATTCATGAGCGGAAAAAGAGACCACGTACCGTTCTGTTGCCCGTTATATGGGTTAAAATGTACGAAAGAGAAGAGGAAGACGCGAGCGTACATGCATGCCATCATGTATACTGCTCTCGTTTTACAATTTCGCATTTAATAATCCTATGGCTGTACACCGTCGCCCATAATCACGTTCAAACTTCCGAGTCGTGTGCGATAACGTAGTTAAACTCTGCTCTGCTCTAGTTCGGGAAAAGGTTCTATACAGTGCTACAGTAGACTGTTGTTCACTTCGAAACCAAATTTTTTATTTTGTTTTTTTATTTAAGGGTATAAAAGCGAGAGAGGGTTTTAAAGCGTTATTTTCACGGATAAATTGAACACGGTTGCATTGTCACATTTATATATGAACGAATTCGTCATAAAATTAAATTAGTACTTTTTTGATAGCTTAATCGGCGAGTGGTTATTAAATTCACGGCCATGATGTAGCATTGAACACGTGACAAAAAAACAAATAGGTGTACGTGGTTGGCTAAGTATAGCTCGGGTTCTTGCGTGTGATCAAAAAATTCTTAGACAGAATGGGACGGTGCCCAATGTACACCCAATGCATACATGTATGCATATAAGCGATGTGGCGCGTAAGCGAGTGGCATTGCGTTTGTATCAAGTGCCCGGTAATCGCGTTCAATTGAACGGGCCCCTGTGTCAATTACTCGTGTGACATTTTTTTAGGAGCAGCCGTCTTTTTCTCGTCCCGCTTGAATAAGTGCTCCAGTGGGAGTTGACACTTTGAACGACTCGGTGTGTAACGTTGGAAGACGCGTGGCTAGGTATACATCGAAGTTGATAAATTACTAACGCGATTCTTCGATAAGCTTTGGAATTTTTGCTGTTTGGTGTTGCGTCCTCGTTTCGGCTAGGTGATTGTGCGATAAGTCGAAAAAAGCGGGAGGGCTTGGCGATTGTTTTAGAAGCTGGAAATTTTGCGAATTTTAAATGCTATCTTAATTAACTCTCTCGATCTGAATAAGTGAAACTTTTACCGATTTTGCCGATGAACGCGATTTTTATCGCAAAATGATTAATTTTTTCAATTTTATATTTTTTAACTGTGATTTTTTACCCTTTTGAGTAAACTAATCTGTATTTATCAAGTAAGTTAATATTTATATCTGCATTGGGAATCGTGTCTTTAAAGCATAGGTTACATTTTTTTAAATCGTTTTTCTTATCAAAAAATGGTTCGAGTCAAGTGCTCTTTTGTGCGAATAAGTTTTAAAAATTAAATTTATAATAACTTTTTCTCTTTGATAACGAGAATCATTATCGATTCGACAGTACAATTTTGTCAATATCAGATTTCATAGCAATAAAAAAAAAAATTACATTAAATTAATATTTCAACTCTGTAAAGAAAAATCTGTACAAATATGTAAAAAATATTTTATTAGAATTCTAATATCAGCGGTAGTAAACAGGTTGAGCGCTTAAAAAGAAAAAAGGTGTTTATTGTATTTAAGACTATAATAAAATGTGTTCGTGCAATAACTTTTAATTAAATTTTGCGGCTTGGGAAATATGGAAATATTTAGAAATGCAATTTTTACTTTTTTCAACCATCAGCCGTGATAAAAAAAAATAAAAAAAATAGTAACACAGCAGGCATCGATCGTACCCGTATCACGGCCCTCGTACTAAATCAATCCGCCAAATAGAGCCATATGCAAGCGATTGGCCATTAATATAACCATCTATTGTCACACGAGTTGATTTTCGACTTAAATTACGCGTTTCTCGACTTTATTGTACATACACATATATGTATTTCTAACGAATATGCATTGCAGCAGCGTCGTCGGCGATAATCGGCGAAAGAAGCAAAGTGGACGCCGACAATCGACTGGCGGGATTATCAGACGCCAGTGGCGGTATCGGTGCTGGCATCCTAGAACAGAACGGTTCTATCCACGAGCGGATCCCCAACACGCAAGACGTGCTCACTAAAGCGACTAACTACAGTATCATGGATCAAACCCAGACTGCCATGGCTAAGGACGGCAATTTCGTCGTAGGTCAGTATGCCCTTTTTATTACTCCTTTTGCTTTAAAGGATTTTCCAACACTTGTATAAAAATATATATGTACAGTTCGTTGAGGCCTTCGTGTTGATTATCCAACAAGTATTAGACACCTGGTTATTTTTCTTTTTTCACTTGAACAAAAGTTGGGGAGATAAAGCGCGTTGAAGTTACTCGTCACGTCATAGGGTGTAATGAATTTCACACACAGGAGGTAACGTTACACTCGACCCTATTTACGAACTCTGACGTATGTATCTTCATCGGTTTTTGTTTAAGTGGAAAACGAAAAATAAGCGTATACGTTTCGATGATCAAGAAAACAGCTGTTTCGATGTACATTCGGAAAAAGTAGCTATTTCAAAGGTATTTTTGTAATTTTTTTCCGAGTTTAAAAATATTATCATACTGGACAGTGAAATGAAGGATGTGTTATTTTTTACACTAAAAATTACTTTGTGGTTCAAAGATAGTTTGTGCCTTGAAAAATGTTTTTCTGTAGCAACAGTGATTACGAAATTTGAAAAAAAATTTACATTTCTAATCACCGTTTATTTTCAAGAACTCAAGCGCTGTCTTTCTCCAATCAATTGATTCAAAAAAAATTTTCCGCCCTCGGGTGGTTTTGGGAGGCTGGTACTTCCTCGGGCGAAAAAGCAGTTTTCCGGAACTCGTTCGAAAAGTCTCCTTTACGAACCTCGTTACGTCCCTCGCCTTCGGCTCGGGCCGCAAACCTCTCGGTTCGCAAACAGAGACTTTTCAAACTCGTAGGAAAACTACTATTTTCAACTAAATGGATAAAATTTAATGTTTTCAACTAATGTCTAGCGTATTCCTTCCAATAAACAATTACCATTACAAATAATTTCGGAACCCTGTTAATTTCAAAAGGTATAACTACCATAGGTCTATTTTGGATGAATAAGTGAAAATCCATTAACGTTATCTTGACAACTAATGAACGTAACATTTTATATATACTTTTAAATTATTTCCACTTAAAAGTCATAGTCCATGTAATTACATTTATGATCCAGTACACTTATACATATTATTATCGTGTGATAAAAATTGTTTTACTTGAAATTTACTATAAATGCATATGATACTAAACATCACAAAAAATAAAAAAAATACAATTGCAAATTTTTTAAATTTATTTCAGAGATCTCGTACATTTTTTATTTTAATTTTAGTTAGTACGTACAATAATTGATCAATAATACATAGCTGAAGAGTAGAAGTACTTATTTTCTGAAAAAAAATATTTTCCTACTCACAGTCAGAATAAGAATACTGATATTTTTGTTGCCGAGTAGTTATAAAATAAAAGAAGTAAATTTATTTATAAGTGTTTTATTTACATTGTCAATAAACGAAGTGAAAAAATTACTATAAAAGAATAAATAGTAATCCTATCAAGTTGAAATTCGTTAAATTTAAAAAAAACACATCAACTTCAATTTTTTCCTAATAAAATCAACGTACAACACGTCTTTTTAAAAACTATTTAAAAAAAGAAAATCCAACTAAGTTTTTCCCCCACTCATAAGTAACACACCGGATGTACCAGTAAATAAGCGAATTTTCTTGTATTACAACTTCTATAAAGCAAATATACCTAACAAAGCTCTCGGCAAATCCCCGACTACATGAGTAGTTCCAGAACTAATTATACACAAGCACATTTTTCATTCTCATTCCTGAAAGCAAATAAGTCAAGAACAGCTGCAATGCATGCGCTCTATATTCCGAAACAATAGGGGGAACTAAGGGAGCGAAACATTAATACCTACACATAATCACTCGCCGGAAAAGCTCGAAGATATAGGTACTTCCTTGCTACTTCTCGATCACCTTCATCCACTAATTTGATGCTTAAAGCTCGTTTAAGGCTAACGAGGTAGCATCTGTGTATATTATTACTTTCTAAAGAAAGGGAAAAAAGAGCTCGACAAACTAACACGATACTCTTTTCTGCAAATAATTAACTTGACGCCTTTTTTACTCTTCCAGACATCATTTTGCCGATGCTACTCATCGCTATGCTGTTCATCGGCAACGCCGTCATTGTGTACGTCATATTCCAGTACAGAAAAAGGTAACGATCGGCAAGCCGATTATCGAAATCGTAAAGAAAATATGCTGCTTAGTCCCGTAGGAGTATGCTTTTTCTCAAAGAAACATTAAATCCATACGTTCTAATACTTTTCATACGAATACAATAAATTATATAATTCCATGCAACATATATTTTTCACTGTTAAATAAACTTATAACTTTGAATAATCCCACTCAAATAACTAAAGTACATGATTTTGTGGGAAACCACTTGCACTTCCCCAACAGATCATTTTTTAATGAATAGTTATATGATTTTTAATTAAAAAAAAAAAAAAAGTCACATTTACGTACTCAAACGTGCAGTTTTCCGTGTTTCTTGAGTGATAAAAAGTCATTGAAAAACCTTAAATGAAGAAAAGTGCAAAGAGTTTTCTTTTTCATTGATATTTTTAGATTCGGGAAGGTGAAATAAATATAAAGAAAAAATACGAATTGCACATTTTTTATTTTTGGAGCAAATAAAAGTTTTGTCTTTGAGAAAATAAAAAACATAACGATTCTTAGTGTACTTGTTTCCATTATCTATTGTCTAAAGAAACTCACATCTCGATCTTTTCTTTCTGCTCTGTTCATTAAAATCAAGGTATGTCGACGATAATTTCAGAAAGACGCCCGACGAGTTCCGAAACGAAGAGCTCGTATTGACTAACGATGCCCAGCAACTGCAGCAGCCAAACGGTGACTCGTCGCGAGTCTGACCGCAATGAGACTCGACAACTTGTACCAACAGCAGCAGCAGCGATCGTCATTAAATTTTTAGAAAAATTTCACGTAGAGCAAGCGATGCAGCAGATTCGCTAGCGTCGACGGCCTAATGTTCGCAGCTCAAACTAAAAAGCTTGTGCGACGTCAATGGATGCATCGATCAATGTCATTTACTGTCTTCGGTTTCATTTTTCATATCAATCCACTGCCGATTTCATTTTGCCAAGCATAGCAAGCGACGCACGCGTGTACCATAGTTTTGAAGATTTTTTATATACTTTCAAATAAAATGTGACTCAATACAGTTTTTATGTTTGACGATGAAAACAAAAGTTGGATAAAAATTCTATTGCCCATAATTTAACGACTCGAATGAACCTGCTCTGCTGGGATTATTGGGATTTTAACGATGTATGATAAAGAAAAAAGAAAGAGAATAAAAAGATTACTATTATTAAACACAAAAAGATATATATGGAAAAAATATATGCGTGTATATTTCGTCCAAAATTGTATTTAAGTTGAATAAATGAACAACGTTTTCATAAAATTTATCGTTTATTTTATACACAATTGATGGATAAAAATCGAGTGAAAAAAACTTAGTCCTACATGTAAATCTATGTATAGGTTTTATATTACAGATATGAACAGTTTTAAAAGTACTCTTGCAGAGACTCGCCCAGGACCTCTTCTAATGTTCGCACGGCATTTTGGGCGTTCTTTTCCGTCACTTCATCCTCGTCTTCTAATAATTCTGCCAAGAATGGCACCGTCTCTGGTAACAATATCGTGAAACCTTCTCCTAACTTTTGCGCTATCTCCACCTTTGGAGGGAAAAAGAAAAATTAATTTGATGATTAAATTCCGTTACTACTGCATAAAGTAACATTAAGTATACAACAAAAAGCAATGACTTACAATTGCGGCCAACGCAGCACTTCGCACGTAAGACTTGGAGTTTCTCGTTTTCAATAAGACTTGATACACCAGCTGTTTGTGCAACGTTTCATCATTTATCGCACCAGCAAAGGCTGCGACACACGGAACAATCAAGTCGTTTGCTCGTTTCTCGTAAGCCGCTCTGCCACCCGCTATATTCTCCAACTGATCAACGATCGGCTGCATTAGCGTTTCAAATCTTTCTTGGTTAACATAACCGTTTTCGTCATAGTTAAAAGCTCGCTGGAACATGAGCAATATTTCTTCGATTAGTTCTATTCTGCTTGCTTCGTCGGGAAGCGTCGTCTCTAATGGCTCTTCACTGTTGATGTTGATAATATTGTTTCCGGTCAATAAAGAGGCTGCATGTTTCAGAGTGTGACCGATAAATATGAGGAACAATACTTTGAGATGTACTGCTACGGTTGCAGATAGCCTACAGAAAACGAATACAATAATTTACATTTGTTTCAATCGTCGACGCTTAACTACGAATGAAAATTGGAGTTACAGCAGAAAAGTACCTGTAGAACGTTATGTTTCTCTGCTTGTGGTGTGGATTCCTTGCAGCCCAGTCGTACATCTTGTAATACAGTGGCCTAAATATATTTTCACTTAACTTACGAATTAATGCAATCAGAGCGTTGCTCGCACTTTCTTCCACGTTAATAACATCCTGCAACGTTGCTTCTTCCTCCACTTCCATATCACCCTTGTTTATTGTAACTTCTTCACGGAACTGAAGTACTTTCAAAAAGAAATTGGCCAAAGTGTTGATTATATGCTTTAGATCAGACATTTGGACATTAATGAACGACTGGGCAAATATGTTCATGAGTGGAGAAATGTATTGATACGATTTTTTGGTCAGAAGTTTTTGGTAGGTATCATCTGTGGCTTTTAGTAATATTCGCAGTGGAAGAAAACTGGTCAACTTTTGCGTTGTGGCATTCAATCGAGCCGCCACCGGACCAATCTGTAAATTATTCAACACTCTGGTTTTTTTTAACAATTCAATAAAAAAAACGGGAATCTTTTTTTTTTATGTTACCTTCGGATGCTCTGTGTCTTTGTAAAGTAAACTTAACCGTGCAAGCTCGTACAATAGTTTGTCAAGATTAAGTGACAAGAAATTTCCCAGAGACTCGACGATCTTTTGAAGCGCGCTGATTATACTTGTGGTTAAAATATCTGGGATTTCTTGAGTGCAGTGCTTTCCCATTAGTTTAATAATAGCCGGCACAAATTTATTGAGACCCTGTATCGCGTAAGCTCTCATAGAACTACACAGTTCCGCAACACAAAGTACTGCACTTCCAAGTACTGGACCTTCGCGTTTGTGGACGAGTTCAGTCACCAAATCAAGAATCTGAAAATGAATAAATGAATAATTATGAGTTTAGCGCAAAAGTTCATTATAATACTAGCTGGCACTACACACAGGACAAATAAATAAATCTTTGAGATGAAGGTTTCACTTACCGGTTTGAATTCACTTGGTCTGTCAGAAGCCAATAACTTGGCCATTAATTTCAATGTTATCAAAGCCGTCTGTTGAATAAGCTCCACCTCCGGATTAACAAACTTATGTGGCCCACCCAAAATTCCCATAACTGGCTCGACAAGAGTCATTAAGTGATTGTGATCCTCGTCAAAGAACTTTTTCTGCGCTAATCTTGCATTTAGCAACTCCAAGGCTCTTCTCCTGATAGTCAACGAATCGTGTTGAATCAACCTCGCGATACCATTTATAAAAACGTTATTCGGCAAAAGATTATTAATGAGATCGAGAATGTCGTAGAGACCGTGCAACATGACGCGCCAATATTTTCCATCTGGTTTGCCCTGATTCACTTCCGCGTTTTTCGAAGTGTTTTGCATGTACAACATCAGCTCGATTATAAATTTGTTGTAAATCGGTATCAAATCGTCGACCTCGGAATCGCTTAACTCAGCCACTCGGTTAATAAAGTCTGGACTGGACAATAATGTGCTCAAGAAACGCACGATTGTATATTTGTAGTGGCGCAAGTGTTTCGGTGTGTTGTTTTCGACGTCGAATAGGTGTTTACTGAAAAAAATAAGTTTAAATAAATTAAGATGAATAAAACGTATAAATATGAGTACACGAATGATCAGACGTAACGTACCTTCGATAATTGATAACTTTGTTGTTGCCTTGGATTTCAACAGGCAATTCTCGCAAGAACTCAACTAGAAGAACGCAAACTCTAGTGATCTTCTGTACTGGAAACTCTTGCGACATCAATAGGGCGAACCTCAGTCTCTCGGACTCCTTTTCTTGCGATGGCTCGACGCTCTTTGATAAAACGTGGCTTTCGAACGTGAGCAGATAATACATGTGCAGGTAGTTATCGAGCAGCTGTAGCAGCTTAACAAACAGAGGCACACGCCTGTGCTCGGGTATATCAGGCAAGGATGTGACGAATAGTCTGAGAATCTCACAGACGTGATTCACGTCGTTGCTAGCGTTGATGATCGGCACCACGGTGTCGATCGTCTTCGATATTATCTGAATAGAGTAGGCATCGTCCTGCCTCAGCACAGTACTTCCCATGAACGTGAAAATTGGCATGATGTTCTGCAGTGCTCTCTGGACATCCGCGTGTTTGAAGAGTTCAACCAGTACGAGAAGAGCGTGATGGTGAGTCTGGGGGTTGCGAGACGTGCGAATGCACTGAGCGATCAAATCCACGTAATTGTCGGCCTCTTTCTTCGGCACAGACTTTGTGGTAAGGTGGTGGATCGTCGATAGGATAAGCTGGTACGTGTACTCGACCGGGCTCTGCTCTTCGAAGCACAGACACGTCTTTAGCAGCTCGAACAGAACTGGAATCAACAGCTCCTCGTTTTCGATGTTGTTAGTGTGCTGGATAAACTCCAATAGCGTTACTCCACGCCTCCATTTCCTGCTATTTACTAGCTCAGGACTGTAATTACTTCGTCTCCTAGCCATGCTCTTCCTTCTCGGCCTCGTCGATCTTTTCGCATCTAGAGCTTCCGCTTCGTCCTCAATCATCGACATGAGCTTCAGTTCGTCTACGACCAGCTGAGCGTCTATCTGTATCTTCTTCACTAATCTTGTTGTCACCAAAAGAATCGGATCAATGTCGCAATCGGTTACGATGTCTACAAGTTTTGCCAAAAATTCCTTTTGTAAGTTTCTCGATATTTCTCCCATCTGGTTAAAGAATATGTTGTCGACTTGCTTCAAAATAATAACGTTGACGTACTGTTTGCCATTATCCGTGGCAATTTGGGTTTTACAATTCGACACGCATTCCATAAAGAATCCCCAACAATGATTGTCTCTTAATGCCTCGACCGAACTGCTATCGAATCTCTGAAGAATATTTTTTATAACTTTCTGCGCGAATACCTTATCTTCGGTGACTGTGTCCAACATTTTCTTACACATCGGTACAAGGCTCATTAAAATATTAGGTCCGTTGACGTAAATTAATATATCGAGCAATTGAGCACGAACGTGTACAGGCACATCATCCGACAGAGTTGCCTCGAACAGTAATTCTCGGGCTGTCTCTAAATCGGTTCGAAGTGTTGGCTTTAGATGAGAACTCACATCCGGATCTGGTGACAACAATGTGTACAAGTGTACCGACAATTGGTTTGCGTCCAAGGCAAATTCTTGACTCGAGTCATTGAGTTCTTTGAGAAGCACATGAGATGCTTTCATCGCGGCACTTTCGATACCTTTCACACTTTCAATATTTTTTTTATTTTTATCTTTTGTAGTATCTCCGGTACTTTCAAGTTGAGACAGCTTGTTCAGTATATTTACAGCAACCTCGCGACAAAGATTGACTTCTGAGCAGAGAGCAAACAACAAGTTCATCAAAAAAGTCCTGTCGTTAAGTACCCACAGGAAAAACTGGAGCTGTAAGAATCAAAATTACACTGAGCTTTTGTTGGAGATCATGCGAATGTATGTGTAACCTGCAAGAAGTATTATGTTGGTAATTTATAAAAGAAAATAATACCTTTTTATCCTTCATCTCCATGGTATCAGGCGTCTCCTGTGTTGGCTTGTAGTTTTCGAGAAGAGTCGTGCAAATCTGCAGAGCTTTGTACGACGTCGCTGACTTGATCGGCTTCAAAAAGAACTGTGAGAAGAACTTCAGTGCCTCCTCCACGTTTTTGAAGTGCAACGTGAAAAAAATCTTCAAGAACCACTTGTAATGTTCTTCCCACTTCTGATATTCTTTGTGCCATTGACGATAAAATATGCCATCAAAGGTGATTTCCAAAACTCGAAGGATCAACTGCGTCCTTTCAGAATCATTTTCGAAATCAAAGGTCGAGTTGTTGTTTAGGTTCAGGCGCCTGTGAACCTGTTCCAGAACAAAGGTGTTGACCTGAAGTGGTAGCGACTTTTTGTAGACGTACTTCAGAGCATTCAGAAGACTATTAGCGCTGATGTGGGTGACATCTTTGAGGGGTAAGACATTGGGGAAAGTTTTAATCATTTCAGCAGCTATTTCGACGGCTTCTCTGGCTATTTCGAGCTTGAGGGTACGAACCGGTACTCGGCAAACTGATCCCATAATAATCATATTAAAAAAGGCCGAAGCAGCGTCACCATGTGGAATTTGTTGTTTGATCGCAGAAAGAATGTTGACTGCAGGTGGTAGCAGATCGGCGGTGAGGATGTTGTGGAAAGCCACCAATCTCACGGACTCGGCATCGGTTGAGTTTCCTATTTCCTCAGCAACTTTTTTGAAATACAAATTCCTTTTAGCAAAATCAGATTTCAATATTTGTTGCACAATCGCGACATCCTCGTTCTCCATTGGAAACAAGAATGGCACCGTGACTAAAAATACATTGACATCGTCACTCTCGTCGCAAAGTTTCAATAATACTTTGAGAGCAGATTTAGCACATTTTTTCGTGTGTTTGGTGTGACAGTTAGAAACTAGTGTTATCAGCTCGTCGACTAATGTATCTTGATCAAAAGTACTCTGGAGAAAACGCATTGGCAGATTTAACAGAGCCTCTATTACCCTATTATCATCGTCGTTGAATCTTGACAATAGAGATTTGTTAACTATTTCTTTAAAATCATCTGGTATGGTTATATTTTTTTTGCCAATTTTCTCAATTGCGATAATCCTCTGTTCAGCACTGTAATGGTTCAGCCCCGTAAAAATATCTAACGATATACCAGCTTTCGAGTACCACGACAGGAAGAATTTGAAGATTTTATTTGCCTTTTCGTCAAATTCTTTAGAATTCATCAGCTCATTCAAATACTTGTCAAAAGAAATTGGGTATTTTTTTTCAATAGATTGATACAAGTTCATGAAATACTCCTTGATTTCTTGAGATTTTTCCTCTGAAACATCTGCTAACGTAGTATGGAGTATTGATAACACTTCATTGTCTTCGAATGAGACATGATCAAAGATTCTTTCTATTGTTTTCTTGACATGCTCCGATTCGTTAAAATATTTAGGTTGTGCAATATAACTAAATGCCGAATTGAGAAAGAGAATGATGAATTTAGAAATATCTACTCCTGAATTCTTTATTTTGATAATAATTTCAATGAACCATATCTTTGTTGATAATCTAAGCATCACTTTTTCAGAAACCTCAGATAAACTGTTATGAGGATTGTCATACAAAAATATTGTCAAAATCATTACTTCTTGAGGCAATATTGTTTCTTTTATAGCCTTTGAAATCATTGAATTCAATGTTTTTTCTTTGACTTTAATTTTGCAAATAGTTTCAGCAAGAATTATATAAGAACTGGCTGCAAATTCTGCTATTTGACTATGTAATCCTTTTAACAAAGCGGGCAGAATATGATTAAACTGTACATCATTAACAACTTGAGAATGTCTGATTCCTCCTGCTACAACACAAGTATAAAAACCATAAAGAGTATTTAAGCAGTTTGCTTGATCCCCATAAATTTCAGTTGCAATAACAACATGTTCACACATAAGCTTGAGAAAACCATTATCCCTAGCTGCTTGATTAACAACTGATAATGGAGGCAATGGGTTACGAGTCTTTTGAATAGGACTGATCCAATGCCATCTATCACTAGGCTCTGACAAATCTAATAGCTGCAGTGCTCTAAAAAATTGTATTTTATGTTTAAAATGATGTTTCTTAACATTATGTACCACATAAAGATTAAATTTTAAACTTACCTGACAAATATCCTGCTTTCATGATAAGGCAGTATCAACAACATGTATGCATCTTTGTTGTATTTGTGGATGTGATACCTGTTAATGAGCCATTCCAATGCCTTGTGTGCTATGTTCAGCAGGAAATATGGCGAGAGTAGCACTAAAAACCTATTAATTTCTGCATCTAATTTTTTATTAGCTTTTTGATCTTGCACTGCACGTTCTAAATTTAAAGAACCCATTGCAAATAACGTCCGTTTGAACTCATCAAAGACCTTACATAATTTTATTAATTCATCCAAACCACTTAAACCTAAAAACAGTAATAAATAAATGAAAATATTTTAAAAAATACAATTCACTTTATGAAAACAAATTTAAGAAGTTTTTTTCAAAAGTAAGTTACCAATACTATAAACAGTGTTCCTGTCAAGATTAGCAGCCTCCTTTGTGTCAAATAACAAACTTGGCTTGCGCTTGTCCTGCAAAAGTAACGCAGTCTGAGGTGTCTTTAGCCTTTTAAGTTGTTCTGCGAGCGAAGTAGCCATTCTGAAATTTAGTTATAAAACTTTGTTACACATAATTACTTTAAAACCGCTAAAAGACTTCCGCAAAAGCCACACATAACCTAGAGTAGGCTTACTTACTTTGAGTTATTTTTGCATTCCCAAAAAAAAACGCTGTGTCTATTCGCACCAAATCCACGTAATTACGTGGATGTAAGGTTAGGAATTTTAAAGAAAAACGCTACTTTTTCAAATGAAGTATGTCCACGTGAAGTAAAGTTCGGTCACCACGTGCCGGTATGTTTACAGGCTGTATTCCGCAAATGTGCCAGCAGTTAAGTTACGTGATTCGTAATAAAATATAAGTTGTAAACTTGCCGCAAATAGCACAGACGGCTTAAGCTTTTTATTTTGTATTTACAACATTAATTGCGGCTGGTTTATAATTGATTAAATGGCTCTAAGCGCAAATGCTGTGGGTCAAAAGTTTAGGGCCACTTTTTAGTTCAGAAATCCGCAACGCTAGATGGCGCTGATCCAAATAATTATTACTATAACTTATAGTAGAGCCATTTATATAGTCAATTATAAACCAGCCGCAACTAATTTAATAGATACAAAATAAAAATTTGACGTAATTAATGCTGTTTGCGGCAAGTTTACAATCAAATTTTTACCTGCGAATCGACCTCCAAAACCATAAATGTTCTACTTATCTTATTCGGCTTAAAAAATCGACTACTTAGTAGTGATTACTACAAGTACTACTATTTTACTATTACTACTATTAATGATTTTTGTTTATACAAGGGTGCCTTATGTAGGGGTGGGGGGTAAGGATCAAGATGACAATTGCATTGCACACACGTTTGATTGATTGACAAGAGATTGATATCTCACGTTGTATTTAACCTATTGTTATTATCTATGAGTAACGTGTTTGAATAAAGCAAATATAATATGAGAATGATAATGTTTTTGCGTAGTTCTGTGAAAAATTATGTTGGTGGGCATGCCATAGCAAACGTTTACTTCAAACTAAACATACTTATTTAAACACTACAGTTGTGATGATAATCAGGAAATGAAAAACATCACGAGGTACCACACGAATTAATGTACTTTTAAAGAATGCAATGAAATTATATTCATAAAATTCAAAAATGTTTTATTTTCTGAAAAGTTCATGATTTCAAGTAGTACATCTTAAGGAAGTTACCAAGTTTTAGTCGTGTAAATGTGTGTCGAGGGAAATTACTGTTACTTAAAAAGCTATCTGTTTACTATAATTATTAAATTATTTTCCGATATTAGTAAGAATTACATATACGACATGTACGTGTGTACACTTGTTACCAAAAAAAAAAGATATTATAATACTATAGTAAGAATTACATATAGTATTATAATATCTGTTTACTATAATTATTAAATTATCTTCCGATATTATAATACTATAGTAAGAATTACATATAGTATTATAATATCGGAAGATAATTTAATAATTATCTTCCGATATTATAATACTATAGTAAGAATTACATATACGACATGTACGTGTGTACACTTGTTACCAAAAAAAAAACAACAAGAAACGTATACAAACTTTGGATCATTATCCATCAATATGTTTTCTTTGATTTTTTTCTAGAATATGAGAAATCGTGCGTGTTATCATCGGGTATATTTAACTTCAATTAGTTGAACTTTTTTCCTTTTATTAATTCATGCAAATATACTAACGATTACATGGCTGTACAGTAATTATTACAATTGACAGTAAAGCCATTTAATCGGTTATAAACAAGCCGCAACTAATTTTTTACTTATAAAATGAAAAGTTAACGTTGTTTGTGCTATTTGCGGCAAGTTGACAATTTACCTTCTACCTAAAATCTACTTCCAAAAGTATAAATATACAGGTAAATTTTTGGGTAAAAGATAAACTGTAAACTTGCCGCAAACAGCATTTATCACATCAACTTTATATTTTCTATCTATCAAATTAGTTGCGGCTGGTTTATAATTGANGTAAATAGCAATAATTATTTAAATCAGCGCCATCTAGCGGTCTCAATTTTTTGGCCGAAAGTAGCTTCTAAAATTCTGAATCAGAGCAATCAGGATTAGAGCCATTTCGTCAATTATAAACCGGCCGCAACGTATGACGAAGCTATAAAATAATAAAAATAACGAGATTTGTGTTTTTGGCGGCAAGTTAACAATCTAATTTCTACCAAAAAATCGACCTCGTAGGTGTTTATACTTTTGAAGATAAATTTTCAAGCATAAGATAGATTGTTAACTTGCCGCTAAAAACACATATACTGTTATTTTTTTATTTTATAGCTACAAGATGAGTTGCGGCTGGTTTATAATTGGCTAAATGGCTCTAAGCGCAAATGCTGTGGGTCAAAAGTTTAGGGCCACTTTTTAGTTCAGAAATCCGCAACGCTAGATGGCGCTGATCTAAATAATTATTACAATTAAACAATTTACAGTAGAGCCATGTTATTGCTTATAAACCAGCCGCAACTAATTGTTTAAGTAGACAATAAATAGTTCAAATTTTACGTGCTGTTTGCGGCAATTTAACAATATATCTTTTACCCAAAAATCTACCTCCTATATATTTATACTTTTGGAAGTCGATTTTTGGATAAAAGATAAATTGTAAACTTGACGCAAATAGCACAAAAAATCGTCAACTTTTCATTTTTTATTTACAAGATTAGTTGCGGCTGATGTATAATTGAGTAAATGGCTCTAGGACCCTAAAGCTCTGATTCAGAGTTTTAGAGGGCACTTTACACTTTTTGCGAAAAAATGAAGACCACTAGATGGCGCTGATTTAAATACGTAGGAATCTTCTTTACCTATTTGTGGTGATACAAAAAATCTTATTATCGACTTGTCTTTTTACATTTTTACCGATCTTATCTACCTTTACCTTAAAATTGTTTCGATATCGGCGCCCTTTTAACTCTTTTAAGACGTATTTTCTTGTTCATGCCTGCAAATCCCGCAACCGCAACGGCTGCAATCTACAAACTGCGAAATAAAAGATTTGTACATAGTACATTATCAGACTTTCCTGTCATTTGTCTAAAATAATTGAAAGACTTGAAAAGGTTGGATTTCTAATCAAATTGAACGACTAACGCAAAAAGGCAGTTTACTTTCTCTTAGTTAGAAAGAATATTTTCAACTGTCATTGAAATTACTAACTTTTCATCAACTATTCCAGTAAATATGTGCGTTTACCAGTGTCTTTTATTTTGAAGTTTATTGAAAGTGGTTTTGAATATTAATAAGTAGATAGCGTAGAAAAAAAGTTATACGTGCGTTTAATATTACCTTACAAATAATATACAAACACTTGATGAGATGAAAGAGGTAATGGAGAATGAAGGTGTCGAAAAAGGGGTCATAACCAGGATCTATGTCAAAAACTTCGTGTAAGTTTTTTTGTTATAATTTTTCTTCATTTCAGCTTTACAAATATCTGTATTATGACAAAATTCGTTGTCTCCATACTTTTAGCACTTATGATGAAGTAACAGTTAGACCTGGCAGAAATCTTAACTTGATTATTGGTCCTAATGGCACAGGGAAGTCCACAATTGTCAGTGCTATAGTTCTGGGACTGGGAGGAAGTACAAAAGTCATTGGACGAGCCGAGCAAATTGGTCATTTTGTGAAGTCGGGCCATACCAATGCCATCATAGAAATCGATTTGCAGAATGATCGCAACAAATATGTCACAGTTAAGCGTTGCTTCGACACAAAAAACCAATCAACATGGAGTGTGAACAACAAAACGGTCAATGCCAAACAGATTTGTGACCTCATGGATTCTTTTAACATTCAGGCAAATCTAACAAAGAATCTTTTTATTTAGAAAAAAAACTTTGGCATGAAATTTAAAAAACTTTTAATGCTAAACATTTTTTTAAACTAATTCAATTTGTATAAGCATTGAATTTAAATTATTTTTGTAGATTAATAACCTCTGCCAGTTTTTACCTCAAGATAAAGTACAAGAATTTTCAAAAATGACAGCCCCTCAACTGTTAAAAGAAACACAAAGGTCAGTAGGTGATCCAAAGTTGTTAAAGTATCATGATAAACTGATACAACTACGAGAAAAACAAGCAGAGCTGGAAAAAGAATTAGAAGGGAAAACCAAGCTCCTTGCCAAAGATAAGCTAACTTATGATTCGTTAAAAGATTCTGTGGGCCACATTAACGAACAAAAACAAATTAAAAAGAAGCTTGTATCTTTGAAGCAGAAAAAAGCTTGGATACAGTATCAGAATAGAAGAGAAGAATTTGCAGAGGTAAAAAATATATAATTAAATGTGAATCCTCTAGAGTTGTGATATAAGGGCAATTATTTGTTTACTTATTTATTATTTTTTCTTAAAATTTTTAAGGCAAAAAAAGGACGTGATGCGGCTTTAGCAAAAAAGAAGAAAGCTGAGAAAAACGTAGAACCTGTTAATCAAGAACTTGAAAAGATAAAAGCAACCATCCAAACACTTGAAAAAACTGCTAAGCAACATGTAAGTAAGAATGAAACCAAAATCCCAGCTTGTTAGTTTCAAAAATGGTTAATTTCCAGCTTTCTGAGACCAATGCAAAAAAAAGTAGATTATCTAAACTATCAGATGATGTTGAAAACTATGAAAGGTCTATAAATGAGGTTGAATCACAATGTGAAGAAGAAATTAGAACAGAGCAAGAACGTGACGAGCGTATCAATCAATTGAGAGAAGATAAAAATAAAATGGAAAACGATGTATCTCAACTTCTTAACGATATCGGACAATGTAAAATTGAATTTAATTACATCAGCAAATTTTTAACGTGATACCTTGATGCTACATTTTTTTAATTTTTGCAGTGGATGACATAGTTCAAAACCTGAGTACCATCAACGTGGAAATCAGTGATCATAGAAAAACTCTTAGCGATAAAAAAAATTATGAAACCTATTACAAGGATCAAATAAACCACATTGAGAGAAAAATAAGAGGTGAGAGAAAATTTGGGTATTTTATCACAAAAACATTATTTTATAAGAATGTATGTTGATGTCTTTTTAATTACATCATTACAGCTGATGAACAAAATCTACAAGAAGTGTACGATATTGAAAACAAGAGGCTGGATACACTGCGACAACTAAGCAGAGATGCGTACCAAGGTGTTTTGTGGCTAAGAGAAAACAAGCATCTTTTTTCTCAAAAAATTCATGAACCTATGTTACTAAACATCAACTTGAAAGATCCTAGCTATTCCAAATTTTTTGAAAATCTGATAAGCCAACGAGATTTAACTGCTTTTGTTTGTGAAGATAAAAATGATATGAATATGCTTCTAAAGTATCTTCGTACACAGCAGAAATTAAAAATTAATGCTGTTCACTCAGATCCCAACAAAGAAGTTAATGACGCACCTAGGGTACCTTTAGAAAATATTAAACAATTTGGATTTCATCACTATCTTGTATCTCTCATTGAAGCACCACAGACTGTCATGAACTACTTGATAACTATGTACAAATTGAACGAAATCCCAATTGGTAGTGACCAGGTTGCATCGCAATTAGACCGCATTCCTGACTCTATTATCCGATTTTTCAGCAGTAAGTAGTTTTACGCTTATTTATTGACCGATTTCTTTCACATATTACTTTGGAGTAGGTATATCTCAATTAATCATCTGTTTTCTTCAATAGACAGCAACTTCTACAGTATTAGTCGTTCAAAGTATACTGGAGAAAAAAGTACTAGGCAAGCAGGTCTTTCATCCAGAAATATTTTAGCCATTACTATTGATCATAGCAAAATACAACGCATTCAAGAGGAGTAAGTTATTTAATCTGAAACACTATCTCACAATTATATCAAGATTCTAGAAGTATCTAAGAAATAATTTCATACGTTTTTAGAATAAACTCATCTAAAGAGAAAGTCAGTGCACTAGCTGTTGAACTAAAAAAATGTCAAGAGGAAGTTGTTGCTGTAAATAGAAAAATTGAAAGTCTTAAAGGCAACCGTAATAAGTTGCAAACTAACAAGTCAAAAATCGATAATATTTACGTCAGAATGAAACTTATAGATGAATCAATTAATAAAGAACAGAAGAATAGGAAAAAGATAGATGACATTCGTTTGGAATTTAAAAAGAAAATTCAAGTAATTACTATGAGTGTATATATTTCTTAGAATTATGTTCGTTATAACTCTTTTTAATTAATTTCAGAATATTATCAAACAACAACTCAACTGCTACAAGTCGTACACTAATATGCAAGATGAGTGTAACAAAAGTTCAATCATAGATGAGGAAATAAAGCTTCAAATCAAGCTAAAGAAGAATGAGCATGCCATTGCAGAAAATAATGCTCACGATTTACGAGCAGAATTGAACGAGGCGGAGAGAAACTATAGAGCCCTCGATAACGAGTTGACTCCATTAAAAACGGAAACAAAGAATTTGTACGACACGGCTAAAGAATTGACGGAAGGTCTGTGTTATGATGATCCTGAATTTTCTCGTTACAAAGCTATTTTTGCAAAGTTACCAGCTTCCATCGAAGAAATCATTTCGGAAATCCAACGGACTCAGGCAAAGATTTTTAGTCTCAAAACAGATCAATCAGAAACTGCTAGAGTACGTAATAGAAATTATGTTACGTTGAGTTATTTAAAGCACTTAATATCTGATTGCTATAATAACATTATTTTGCAGATTTTACGTCAATTCAATGATGTAAAGAAAAATATAGATACCTTAGAAGGAGTCATAAAAGAAAAAGATGCTGAATTAACAAAAGTTACTGAAGAGATTAGCAGGACAAAAAATGAATGGTATCCGTCACTTTCAGCTCTTGTCGACAAAATCAACAATAACTTTAGTAACTACTTTTCCAAAATGAAGTGTGCTGGAGAAGTTTCGTTATGTCATGGTGATAATCCCGTAAGTAATAACTAACAATTAATATTAATCCATGAATTGTTTACATATTTTAAGTGAATTTTTTTACTAGATGAATTTTAAAGAGTATGGGCTACAGATCAGAGTCAAGTTTCGAGATGCAGACGAGTTGCAAGTACTCACTCGTAATCATCAGAGCGGAGGTGAACGAGCTGTTACTACTGCTGTTTACATGATATCTTTGCAAGAATTAACACGTGTGCCTTTTCGTTGTGTTGATGAGATTAATCAGGTAATAAAAAAAAGAGTTAACTATTGTAGTATCAAATAAAATCTATGTATAATTGTAATGCATATGTGGTATAATTATTTAAAGGGCATGGATGCCACAAATGAAAGAAGAGTTTTTGAACTCATAGTAAATATAACGAGTAAATCAAACAGTTCTCAATATTTTTTGTTGACTCCCAAGGTATTTACAACTTATTTAATAAACTCTATCTTCTTTACTAGCTCTTTATATTATAATTAGGCTAAACTTATTTTTTTAATAATTACAATTTATGTCAATGATACTTTTTGTGTACTTCCCTCTTTAATTTTTGTGTTGTTTTCAGCTGTTACCGAATTTGAAGTACAACGAAACTATCACAGTTTTAACTGTGCTTAACGGAAAACATATGATACCTTGTTCGAAGTTTGATATTAATAATGATTGCGAAAAAATCGTCAATACAATAATCAATCGAAGAAATGGCGTTTGAATAAAATTTACTATCGTTTTTTTGCGTTAATGTTTACCAATAAGCTATTTATTAAACTTTAAATGTCAAAGTGTTTCGTTAAAGATTTCAAAGTAATATCAAATTACTAAAACTTCGTTCCTCTTAAGTATTTTTGTATTTTTCAATCACAGCTTTAATGAAGATACTGTATGTACTTTTTATTAAATAAATTTTTTAAATAAAGGAAAGAAGAAAGGGTCACGTATTTATAAAAACGCATATAGTGGTATATCTATTTGAAAAAAAATATTGCCATCGTTGCTACATATTTGCGCTTTTCCTACCTCTCAAAACTTTTCTTCCGCTAACTGTGACAAACGTTTTTAACTCAAAAAATAACCTTAGTCTCTAATACACAAATTATAGAAGAATAAAGCACGATGAAAATTAATTACTGTATTTATATAACCTTGTATAAATAAACTATNAATCATTTTCACAAGAATGTCTTCGCATTTTTAAAATTGCCATACCGATAAAAATTTTATAACTATTGTATTTTCTAAATAAACAAAAAATATGTGTGTACTTAATTTATACAATTAAAAATTGCAAAATGTGCGATGGCCGGGAATCGAACCCGGATCAACTGCTTGGAAGGCAACTATGCTGACCATTACACCACCATCGCACGATATTCACGATCTTCTTAATATGGTATATGAACATAGTCATTAAATGGGTACTTGCACGTCTTTACAATAAGCTTTGAAAATGTTATGTGACACAATCACTACTCAAACACATACATTTTTTTTAACAATAATCTATGAATAGGTAAAAATTTAAATATTTCTTTTCGTACAATAAAAGTAGCACCTTTTTAGTAACTATATAAAAAAGTATCTAAAAAAAGTTAAAGAAATTAACAAAGTTTGTGCATTACTTGTTATTTAAAACTGTCTTTGATAATTCTTGAATCAAGTTTAAAACCATACAACAATTTTTTTTATATTTACTCATGACGTGTACAGACAAAAAAAAATCGTCAAAAGGTTCCCCTCTCCCTCAGCACATAAAAATACCCTTAAATTAATAAAAAATACAGGCCCATGGAACAAAAAATATACCCCCTAACTATGCAATTTGTTTAAATTAAACCCTTACAAAAAGTAAGATAAAGTTGAGAGTACTTTTATATCGGAGGAAGAGGGGGTGTTAAAAGGACCGCCAACAAAAACGTCAAAAACAGCTGTTTTCTCTCCGTGTTTCTCCCCCTTCTTGTTGGCATTTAAATGCACAAAAGAAATCACAACGTGGTATTTTCTCTTACACTAATAAATTATCTATATATATTATGTAAACACGTATATTAAATTGGGAATGATTGCGGATTACATCCATTGTTGATGTTGATGGAAGTGCAAATAAAAAAATGAAAATGCACCATTTCGACAACTAGCGCTGATGTGGTAAAAATTGTAAGCCTCGAGAATGGAAAAGTATGGGGGGGAAAAGTAGCGCGCGCTCTCGTCGGCCCTCGTAGGAGAGAGGGAGTGAGAGGAGACACCGATGGGACCGCTGCTGATTGGTTGCCTCATCCCGTAAGATTAACACAGACTTGCGTCCACCATTTGTGGTTGCTGGATATATATAGATATACAGGTCTAATGGCTTCGTCCGCTCACTTCCCCTCGAAGCCTCTCTTACATCTCGTATAGGCCTCGTCTCGTAGCCGTCGTAGCTCGTAGCAGACATTTATTTTCCCGCGCACTTGCACCTCATAAACATACGCGCGCGGTTATCGGGAAAGTAAGATTCCCTTCAAGCTGCACCGCATGCAGCACAGCTGCTTGTAAATTTGTTAAGTGTTTACTTGTAGCAAATAAAATTGGACTTGCTTAACTGTATTTAATTAATTTAACTAATTACAAAACTAAAATTATAGTGTAATCTCGAGTCCACGAGTGCAAACTTTAGTGAACGACCATGAGCGTTCAAACGAAGCTACAGTTCCAGGTTCGCAAGAATAACTTCTACGGGAAGAAGCAAAATGACTGTAAGCCAACACCTGAGCAGCTCAGCGGTATCTTGAGCACCCCGAGTTCGAGGTATACACCAACGGTCAGGAAGATAGTCGACATCAGCAGTAGCAGTGAGGAGTCGGACTCGGACTCCGAAAACATCGCCAAGAATAACAACATCACTAGAACACCAAAACGCAAACCTCCTAACAGAAACGAAAAAGGTGAGAAATTGTTTCGTTGTAGAAGTAAATAACTATTATTTAAGTTCATCTGCAGGCATTAGTTGTAAATTTTCGGTTTTGTTTTGTTGATAGATGATACTGAATCTTCTCCACCCAAGCAAAGAAAGACACCTTCCAAAACACCAAGCACTATGTTAAAGGGATTGAGATTGTTATCTCCAAGTAAGCCAGACAGGTTGATGCCAAAAAGTTTGTTTGCCAATAACAGGTACAGCGATGCACGTAAAGCTTTGCACAGTGCTCTACCGGAAGATCTAACTGGCAGGGAGGAAGAGATGGCCAAGATGACAGAGTTCATCGAAGACCATTTAAATCAAAAGACTTCGGCTTCTATGTATATTTCTGGTCCTCCAGGGACAGGAAAAACGGCTTGTCTTTTGAGAACCATCAAGAAACCAAATTTGAAAGAAGCACTTAAAATTATTTACATCAATTGTACAAGTATGAAATCTGCTACTGTGATTTATAATGAAATTGCTCTGCAGTTACAATTGATGAGTGGTAAAAATGGTAAAAATAGTAAGAAAGTTATTGAAACGTATTTAAAAAATTCGTCTAAAATGTTGCTTCTGGTTCTTGACGAAATGGATCAATTGGAGACTAAAAGTCAGTCTGTTCTGTATTCCATATTTGAATGGCCAGCGATACCAAAAGCCCAACTTATGTTAATAGGAATAGCCAATGCTTTGGACTTAACAGACAGAATACTGCCTAGACTACAAGCAAAGTGTGAACTTAAGCCAACTTTGCTACAGTTTAAGCCATATTCCAAACAACAAATTGTTGATATTATAAATAAAAGACTGGAAGAATCTGATGTAAAAGATGTTTTTACTGGAACAGCAGTACAATTGTTGGCAGGAAAAGTTGCAGCTGTGTCGGGTGATATTAGGAGAGCCTTGGATATTTGCAGGAGAGGTGTTGAAATCGCAGAGTCTGAAAAAATAACAAAAGTCCTTAAACCCACTAATGGTATGTTGCTTTCAATATTTTACTTTAAAAATTTTGGCATATGTATGTAATTAAAATTTTATCGATCCTGTTTTAGGTGTTGACTTGGCATGTTCCGAACAAAAGCAAGTAGATTTCAAAGAAATACGCTCAGTGCTTAATGGAGTTTACGGCGGTTCACAGAATGTTGACTCTGAAGAAAGTAATTTTCCACTTCAGCAAAAGCTTGTTATTTGCTCACTGATGCTCATTCTGAACAAAGGAAAGAACAAAGATGTGAATCTCGGAAGGGTAAATCTTTATACATTAATTTATAATTACTTATTTTTTCAAGTGCATCTTTATCTGAGTGTAACAATTCTTTCAGTTGCATCAAGTTTACAAAAAGGTTTGTAAGAAGAGAAACATATCGGCACTAGATGTTTCAGAATTTACGAGCGCGTGTTCTTTAATAGAAACGCGAGGAATTCTTAAACTGCTTCTCAAAAAAGAGCCAAGACTGTCAAAAGTTAGTTTACAGTGGGATCAAGAAATGCTGACCAATGCACTTCAAGACAAAGATCTAACATTTGAAATTTTAAATGACGTTTCTTGTTTGTAAATATATTTGACATTATTATACCGTGTGTTTTATAAAAAGATTATTAACATATTTTTAAAGGATTCTAGTATTAAGTTGATTTAATGAACAAATGCCTTTTGTAAATTATTTATATTGCTCAACCTATTAGAGAAATGGCACTTTGTGTGTTTTGTGTATATATTTATTTATTTTTTAGCTTAAATGTACCAAATGGAATTGTTTATAATGATAACTTGTTGACAATATGTGTACAAATCTATGACTCAAAATATAGACACTGAAGGGGCCTTATGGTTGAATTACAAAATAAAAACTGTTTAATTATTGCTTTTTTGTATTTTTTTAAAAAACAATCCTTATACCATTTCATTTTATTTGTATGAAAAAAAATATAACAATATTACTTCATAAACAGCTTTTAAAGTGGAATGAAAATATCCGTTCGATCATTCAAATTTTTTTTCCTTTGCGTTATTGGCCCTAAGATGTACTTCTATATGCATACCCTACTGACAGCACTGTCATCGTACCATATTGCAAATTATACCTACAGTATAAAAAAATCTGCGACTCTTAAGGTACTGTAAGGCTAATCTCGTAGCTCAAGAAAATGGGCATGAAAAGTTTTTCAAAAATAAGTAAGATCTTATTTTCAGAAGAAGGTAATACATTACCATGAAATAAGAGTAAAGGCGCGGTTAATGTACTTACGTTTGTCTTCGAGTGACAAAGGGACGTTTTCTTACTGGGAGCGCAAAGTGGTGTTTTGGGCGTTTGGATCCTATAGAACCGAATAGTAGTTTTCATATCATGTGCGCAAAGCAAAAAAATCTCGTCCAAGGGGCGGGATTTTTTTCCTTCCGAGAGGTCAAGTACTCGTACTTTGTCCCCCATGCACACTTTGCGCCCATGATAATAAGAAAAGTTATTATTGGAAAAAAAAAAAATTGTAATAAAAATTGTAGATACTAAAAAGAAGATCAATCGTATCAATTACAATCGATACATCGGTAAATTTCTTATAATATTCATTGAGTTTGGATGCTTAAATTAAAAGCCTCATCATCGTGTGTTTTTGCGTCAAGTGTCCTTGTGTATATAAAGAGCCAAAAACAATTTTTACGTAATGATATTCGGAGTTAATTCAAGTACATATCATTTTGTTAACGATAAGTCAACAAAAGAAAATATTGTACAAAAAATCTGATGTATCTGACGGTGAGTTACGAATTCATTGAATTTATGTATTTAGGGAGAAGGAAATCGATAGAAAAAAAAAAAAAAAAAATTAGCGAAACAAGAATAAAATGAAACGATACGCCTGGAAGATGAAAAAGATATAACTTGCAAAAAGCAATCATGTATTTTACTGGTATAGAAAGATTGTCTGCGATAAAACTTGTGTGAAAATATTAATTATTACAAACATCAAAATGTCATTCTTGTCGAAGGTTAATACATCGCCTTCATTTTTATTTCTGAAATTTTTACAGATGGAAACGATGGGATAATGACTGTAGATGTACATATTTTTGATTGTTTAAAAAAAATGTCGAGAAAAGATTTCCCAGGCTCATACTACGGCCCTTTATTTTACTAAACACGAAACAAATGTTTCTCATATTGCTGAATACATCGTTAGATGTAAAAAAAGTTATCTATGACTACACGACTAAAAAAATGGTTATCTGTGTGCAACTAACAACGTTAGTCAAAAAGAAGCAAACAAAAATAGTTGACTAACGTAAAAGGGATGTAAAAGCCTCGACAGATTCATCAAAAAAGAGGAATATCCAAATCGAAAAAGGTCCATTTTTAGTCCCCTTTTTGACTTTTTCGTTGTGTTTCCAAGACTGCAACTAATAACTTTTTAATCACTACATGAGACATACTCTATATCCACCTCAGTAATATTTTAATATTAAAAAAAAAAAAGATTATTTATCGTTCGATAAATGCACCCAACACGCAAAATGTGTTATATACTTTTTAACAACAGCATCAACTGCGTCAAATTCGTTTTAGTAGTATTTATACTGTCTGGAAATTTTGGTTTCGGTATAAGATATTTCAAGTATGCGTGAATTTATTTATATGGAATCGTGTAAGCCACGAAATTAATGTACAATATAACATTATGATATGTGTAATATTGTAAAGGAAATTTTTCAACAATAAATTGAATTAACAAGTCTTCGAAATAAAAAAAAAAAAAAAATAAATAAATAAGTAAAAAAGTTAACGAAGGTAATTTCATCCCTTTTGATTCAGTTCAATAAAGCGAATCTGTCAACGTGAGCACTCTGTATCTCTTGTGTTATGTATTACTTATCTTATCGTGCCACCGAGCTTCTCTACCGATACAACGATCGTTACAAGCTAAAATATGTAAAAACCATATAAACACAAAATTGACCACCACTGTGTGTTCCTATCCGTCTTTCGAAAGTCTCTTACCGCGAGTCCGCAACTCCGTATAAGCCGCGACTGATTATTATCAAACGTAATCATACGCAAACTCGAGTATTGCCAAACACGTGCGAGGCGAGCCAGCGAGCGGGCGCTCGATTTCCTCGGCTGCATATAAAATGCTTAATCGGTGAAAAGCCACCGACGCGGGAAGCACATAACTATATATAGTTTTCACGCTCACTCGGCCGATCGTTCTCTTCTTCTATACAGTATCTCTCGGTGCAACTCGAAGTCAGTTGCTTCAGTTGCTTTTTGCAAGAGGTTCGTCGTCAATTTTGGATAGTCGGTGCCGTTGATCTGTTTTTCGCCAGTGTCGTTCCGGAGCACAGTTGTACTTGGTGACAGATTTTCATTTTTGTAAAATCATAAAATTGGAGTCGATCGATCGTACGAAATTCCTGAGACGATTTCTTACCGATCCTGCGACCGCGGGTCAAACAAAAATTAGATTGCTCAAACTGAACAGGATTTTTTTAACAAAGTCATGGCAGCTGCTGGCTCGCTGATCGTGTCTAAGGACATTCCAGACATCGAAGTGAGTACACCTCCATGAGTTAATCCGAATGAAGCGGGTGTCTCGATTTCATCTGAATCTGCACTTTGAAATATGTCACGTTATGTTTGTCTCTCGCAGAACTTGCTCGGCTTGAACCCGAGATCGAAGCCTTACGCAAATCTCCGACCGTCATTGGAAACGAAGCAAAATAAGCAGCACTGGAAAAGAAACATTCACTCAAAATGCGACGTAAGTCTTACGCACGAACGATATGATATACATTACACGAAAAAAAAAAAAAAAAAAAAAAAATTCGCACTGTGGATAATTCTGGACACGATGTTAAAATATACATTTACATTTCAAAACAATGCGTGCACTTTAATGTAAAGTACTTTGTCGACCCACTCAAAATTTAAACTTTTCCTAAGTAATTTTTACCCATTTGCAAAAAATAAACAACCAAAATAATTAAATCGATCTTGTATATATAAAGTATTTTACCAGCTTTAACGATTCGCATGATTTTTAAGGAAGAAAATTATCGCTTAAAGAACGTAAAATATTCCGTCACAGATTTAACAGGCTCGCGAGCGTGTTTTGCATTTCGAAAACGTGGTACTTACATCAATCACTAGAAAGAAAAAAAAAAAATTATGAAATTTATATGAGCTGGTACAATAATTGATGAATCATCAATTTTGTTGTTTGCGAAAACATTTATGACACATTGGCACTAACGTTGTGAATTAAATAATTAAATTAACAGTTGTTCTTATCCTAAAGAGCTGCACACCCTTGACAAAGAACTTCGACGACATAAAGCACACGACGCTGAGCGAGCGCGGGGCTCTCTATGAAGCGTCGCGATGTCTCAAGTGCGCGGACGCGCCCTGTCAAAAGTCCTGCCCGACCCAGTTGGACGTAAAATCGTTCATCACCTCGATATCGAACAAGAATTACTACGGCGCAGCCAAGGCCATCCTGTCGGACAATCCGCTCGGCCTCACCTGCGGCATGGTCTGTCCCACCAGTGATCTCTGCGTCGGTGGCTGCAATCTCTTCGCCACCGAGGAAGGACCCATCAATATCGGTGGCCTCCAGCACTTTGCTACCGATGTAGGTTCACCTTTTTTTTTCTTTTTCATTCATTCACCTCCTCGTCACGAGGAAGCTTTTTCTCAATTTGACGATTAAGACATTTTATTTTATATTTACTTTTTGACGCATCAAGCACCTCCTTGTTTTTTTCATACCGAGGGCGTCAATCAGCGCAGATAAGACAGCGGTTTTTTCAATGCTCCCGTTCATTTCTTACGCGTCTGCAGAAAGTTTATGCATGAGTAGGTACATATATATATATATATCACGGTGTTATCGAGAAATTGGATAATCGCATCTACAACGTGATTATTCTGTCCTTGAGTGCGTCTCGCACACCCGTGTGTTTTGTGATCACGCGGGCAAACATATATATAATATATACGTATCTATTGCTTTTATCTGGAAAACGTGCAGCAGCGCGAGTAGCTGTTCTTTTGAAAATATTTTTACGTGTTACACACACGTTCATGATTTTTTATCGATTACTTAGTCTCTGGAACATAGTTTATCAAGTTTATATAAATTGTTTTCAACCGCTGACTTGTGAAGAGTCTTAGTCATCGTATTATTTCTATTGGTGAAGCTTACAAAAAACGAGATAAAAAAAAAAGTCGAGAAATAAGAAACAAATGTTGTACGTCCAGTAGAAATTTTTTGTCTACTTTGATCTTTTGTTACACTTTCGTCACAATTAATCTGATTGTTAACTGTGTAGAATTATTTTTCGATAACTCTCAAGTAGCAATGATTGTTCTATTATTTGAAGGGTAATTTGTTATTATTATTATTTTTTTTTTTTTTAAACCAAACGTTTGAAACATAAATATTAACTCTGAAACATAGAAAATTTAAATCCAGAGTATTTGTTCAATTTCAATTGTCAACGATCAAAGCAATCACAAGTTCGTACACTTAAAGTCATCATCCAACAGAATAATTTCCCCCAAAACCACATCCACAGATATTTAAGCAGATGAACGTGCCGCAAACGAGAATCCCTGGGCAGTCGGTGCCGCACTCCGCCACGAAGATCGCCATGATCGGCTGTGGGCCGGCATCACTGTCGTGCGCCACCTTTTTAGCTCGACTAGGCTACGACGACATCACCATATTCGAGAAGGACAAGTTCTACGGGGGCCTCAGCGCCTCGGAAATCCCGCAGTACCGCCTTCCGTACGATGCGGTCTCTTTCGAGGTCGATCTCGTCAAGGATCTTGGTGTAAAAATCGAAATCGGCAGAGAACTGTCGAGTCGCGATCTCACGATCGAGGTGCGTCTGATGTTTGATAAATCACCGATAACCGAGAGGCTGCACATTCTCAAAGTCTGTGAAAAAAGCCGTTCAAAGTCACAACAAAAAAACTTTTGACGACTTGGAAGCTTTTCCCAGTCTTCTTAATAAAAATCGATCGACTTTGGAATTTTTTCTGAGACTCTCTGAAGCACGCGGCCCTTACCGATAATTCAAGAGTAAAGCTAAAACGTGCATCCTGCCGCAGAAACTAAAAGACGCCGGCTACGAGGTGATATTCCTCGGGTTCGGGTTGCCCGAGCCAAAGTCCGTGCCGATCTTCGAGGGCCTCAGCCGGGAGATGGGCTTTTACACGTCCAAGAACTTCCTACCAGCCGTGTCGATGGGCAGCAAACCAGGCATGTGTCCCTGCAAGTCGACCACGGGGCTTCTGCCCAACCTCCACGGGAACGTCGTCGTGCTCGGTGCTGGGGACACCGCCTTCGACTGCGCCACCTCGGCCCTGAGGTGCGGGGCGAAGAAGGTCTTTGTCGTCTTTCGACGGGGCTTCACCAACATCCGCGCCGTTCCCGAAGAGGCATGTTTGAATATTTTCATGTGTATATTGTGCGCGTGGATTTGCGAAACGAATCGTTTCAGATGGAGCTGGCCAGAGACGAAAAATGCGAATTCATACCCTTCGCATCGCCGAGGAAGGTGATCGTCAAGGGCTCCAGAATCACGGCCATCGAGTTTTACAGAACCGAGCAGGATGAGAACGGAGAGTGGAAAGAGGACGAAGACCAGCTGGTCAGGTTGAAAGCCAACTTTGTCATCTCGGCTTTTGGCTCTGGCCTCTACGACACTTCTGGTATGGTATCGATTTGCACCATAGTATGGAAATGTAATTTTGCGACGCTGACGCGCATGTACACCTTTACCTTGTAGTTAAAAGCGCCTTGGAACCGGTAAAACTCAATAGATGGGGCACACCAGAGGTTGACGGGAGCACGATGAAAACCTCGGTGCCGGGTGTTTTTTGCGGGGGCGATTTGGCGGGGGTCTCTCAGACTACCGTCGAGTCGGTCAACGACGGAAAAACCGCGTCCTGGTACATTCACAAGTACATCAAGGTGGAAACAAACGCTTCTTATTATGGAATAATAAATTAAAATGCATACATGTACACGAACATGCGTAATTTCTCAGGAGAAGCACGGTCTCGTGGTGCCGGAGGTGCCGCAGCTACCGCAGTTCCACACGGCGATCGATGACGTCGACCTCAGTGTCGAACTGTGCGGCATCAGGTTCGAAAACCCGTTCGGGCTAGCCTCGGCGCCGCCAGCGACGACTTGTGCCATGATCCGCAGGTCGTTCGAGGTTGGCTGGGGGTTCGCCGTCACCAAGACGTTTGGACTGGACAAGGTGTGAATATAGTATCTCGAGGAGGAATCGAATGTAATGGTTTGTAATTAAGGGTCGAGTACCATTGTTCTAGGATCTGGTGACGAACGTGTCGCCTCGGATAGTCAAAGGGACCACGGATGGCCACCACTATGGGCCCGAGCAGAGCAGCTTCCTAAACATCGAGTTGATTTCCGAAAAAACGGCCGCTTATTGGTGTCAGGGCATCACGGAGCTAAAGAAAGATTTCCCAACGAAGGTAGGATATATATACACACAATATGTTCGGATGGTTGAATTTTATGTAACGCCGGTGATAAAAACTGTACATTAGCCGGTATCGGCAGCGGGAAGTAAGATGAAGTTTTCCGTCTTGAAATGTTTCATGGCATTTTAAGATAATGATTGCCAGTATCATGTGCACGTACAACAAAGCGGACTGGACGGAGTTGGCACAAATGGCGGAAGCTTCGGGAGCCGACGCGCTCGAGCTCAATCTGTCCTGTCCTCACGGCATGGGAGAAAAGGGAATGGGCCTGGCATGCGGTCAGGTACGTGTGAAATTCGGTTTCTTAAAGGTGCAGGGAAAAACGAGGTAATAGTGAAACGCGTTTGTTTCAGGACCCGGAATTAGTGAGGAACATCGCGAGATGGGTGCGCGCTGCCATAAAAATACCTTTCTTCGTCAAGCTGACTCCCAATATCACGGACATTGTTTCCATTGCCAAGGCGGCGTACGAAGGTAAATGCATTTGTTTAGAATTGCTAATGTTGCGCATGTTGATTATATCTTTGCTCGTAACCGATGATGACCGTGACATTGGCGTGACTGTCCACTCGATTAGGCATTAGAATTCAAAAGTCGTCAATCACAAACTTCACCGCTTAAGATAAGATAATATGAAAATTATTACGTCAGTCGTTGTAATATTGTGTTGTTTTTCAATTACTACATAACTAGTTATGTGAGACGTGCTTCACGACATCTAATTGTTTTTGCATCCGCTTGTTTGCATTCATCGCCACACTATTCGATGTAAAAACATAATGTTGCTTATATTTTTGTGTCTTTGCAAACGTATACGAAAAATTAATATACACGTTACTGGCGCCAATTTTTCCCAACAAATCAATCACATCGTATTGCTCCAGTCATTTTTATATCCTTCATTTATTTTATTTCAGTCATAACTATACAATTTGATGCAATTATATTTTTGTCTCTTAAACAACAAAGAATCTCAATGAATGAAAGCGTTGAAACGCATTTTTGTTCGAAAGAACAGCCCCTTTGGCATGATAATAAAAAAAAAATAATAATTTCCTGATACACAGGTCAAGCTGACGGCGTCTCGGCCATAAACACCGTGCAGGGCCTGATGAGTTTAAAAGCTGACGGCACACCCTGGCCAGCAGTTGGCACGGCCAAAGCCACTACTTACGGTGGAATATCCGGAAACGCGACCCGGCCAATGGCTCTTCGAGCCATTTCCAAAGTGGCCAAAGCTCTGCCGGGCTTTCCGATTCTTGGCATCGGGGGTATAGACTCAGCCGACGTCGCGCTTCAATTCCTGCAGGCTGGGGCTACGGTTTTGCAGGTAAGCTGACCTTGTTTAAAAAAAAATATGTTTATATTCAATATTAAATTTTTTTCATTCCAAGGTCGGAAGTGCTATTCAAAATCAAGACTTTACGCTGATCGAGGACTACACAACGGGCTTAAAAGCGCTTTTGTATCTAAAGAGCTTGGGTCACCTGAAAGATTGGGATGGCATGAGCCCACCTACGCAAAAACATCAAAAGGGAAAACCAGTCTCCCTGCAACACGCCCTTGGAAAGGTAAGTCCGCTTGAAAAAAAAAAAACAAAAACAAAAACAAAAAAAAAAATTTGCGAATTTATAAAAAAAAAAAATTGCACAGAACGTGCCCTACTTTGGAGAATACCAAAAGCTGAGGGAGAAGAAAGCGGCGGAAATCAAAGAGCAATCAAATCTGCTGGACGTTGCGCTGGAGCCGAGGCGACCGGCACCACAACCTGTCAGACCGGTGCCAAAGATCGGCGAAGTCATCGGGAAAGCTCTGTCGAACATCGGCGCTTACCAACAACTCGACAATAAAAAACAAGTCGTCGCCCTCATCGACGACGTACGTGATGAATTTTTCTTTTTTCTTAAACCCAGTATTTATAGGGCTCTGTTCAAGTACGTGGGCTGTATTCCTCGATTTTTTTTTTCTACATATCTTGTTTCAGGACATGTGCATCAATTGTGGAAAATGCTACATGGCCTGCGCTGACTCGGGCTACCAGGCCATCAGCTTCGACGCCGACACACATATACCCAAGGTCACGGACGACTGTACGGGATGCACGCTTTGCTTGTCCGTCTGTCCTATTATTGATTGTATAACGTAAGTGTTTTTGTCATTGTTGTTTTATTCTCCTGTTCGATGGAAAATATTTTGCTTTTCTCGGCATTATCAACATAATATTTATCTCTAATCTGAACAACATGTGTTGTTTTTTTTTTTTTTTTTTTTTTACAGGATGGTGCCAAAACAAATTCCGCACGTAATAAAAAGAGGAATTCCACCAAAAGGAGTCTCTTTGGAATGTTGATCATAGGAATTTTTGAGTGAATTTATACTTAATTCAATTATATTTTTAATTGAAAACGAATGAAAATTATTATCATCATTTTTATTCAATAATGTTGTTTCAAAACAAATATCTTGAAGAATTGTGCTAGTTAAAAATATCAATAAAATTAATATGAAATGAAAAATAAGTTGAAATGGAAAAGAAATCCTTCCTATGACTTAATAAATAAAGGTTTTATCACAAAAATAGTGAAATAAATTATTTTTATTGTGAGAAACATATGATTCTCGAGAAAGAAAATTTCTCACAAAACGAAACGACTTATGTGTAATAATTTTTTGTTCATCGTTGCAGTTGACATTGCATAATTTTATTGTCATAATAACGACAGCAATTACACTAATAAATCTATGATGCCAATTAATAATTAAATAACGAAAACAAGCTTAAATACATTAAATATTGGAAGATATAACATTTTTTTTTCTTCAAATATTTATTAATCGTTACATTACATTGCATACAATGAATATGAATGCAAAACAACAATTTAATAATAACAACTCTTTCAACAATGTAATAAATTTTAATTACAACAACAGTATATATGTGCTATATAACACAGCAGGAAAAATATCTTTATCCATATAAGGCGAATACATAACAAAATACAAAAACTGCAATCACGTGATTTCATGAGATCGGTTATGACTTACTTAAAATTACGTTATTTGTTAGAAGAAGTCTGGGTTATCGAACCATTGCCACGTCATATTCCTTGCATTGTCGTACTTGTACTCCAAGCACTTGTTGTCTTTTATTCGTTTCCTACGAATAAATATCATAGAATTAAAAATAATTGAGGAAAACAAAGTGTTCGGTAATATTAATTAATACATCTGTCACTATTGTACCTAACACTGGATACTATAGAATTGCATGAAAAACCAATTTTCAGCAATTCAATACTGAAGAGACAGAGTGTAAGTGTAAAACTTAGCCAAACTTACTTTCCGTATTTAACGCACGTCGCCGGATAGTCCTCTTTAAAACACTGCGGTCTCAAAACATTGAAGTAGGTGTAACCGATGTTTTTAGACACCAGTGAACGGACCTTTTTCAAGCACTGATAGAACTTGGTGTCACACGAACAGTGAGATCTGTAATCATCCCGGTTATGACGATACAATTTTCATATGGATTATAATAATTGTATTACAAGTCAAGTATTCGCCCTATTGTTTTCGCTGTAGTTCTAAGGTACCATCGAAACGTTAAAGCGCCTACCTAGTAAAAGTGCCGGTATTCAACAGGCCATGTTGAGTTTGCCCGGCCGCCATATTGATATTGCACAAGTCATGATCCCTACAGCAGGAATCAGTTTTTTTGAACAAGCCCACCTCATCTATGCTCGATGATATGTTACCAGCACCGCACCACTCGGTACCTGCAGATATCGATAAGTATACAGTTACATGAAACGATTTTCCCATCAAGCGAGAACTGCAATGTGTATTTTTTCGATTCTTCGTTGAGATAATATATATTGGTAAGTTTTAGTAATCTTCTCGAAAAAATAATAATAAACTCATATAGATCACGATTTTCTGCGAGATAAATTTTTGTATGAAATTTTTGAAAATTATTATATTATAATGCACATAAGCAGCGAATTCTTCAAATGGAAAAGTTTGAGGTAGAATTTTCTAATTTGTTCGACACACGCAGTCTATGTAGAAAAGTTTTCCATACTGATCTTTTGTGCGAGATAATGACAGACACGATATTTTAAAATTTTTTTATATTAGGTGGAGAATCATTTTAAACCGTGAAAGAATTTTTTTTTTAATTTATGAGTACTTTTAATATAATAAAAAGTACAAAATCTGTTTACTTTAAAAATTACTTGTCAAGTTTATTATACGTTTTTATTTGTTACCTCTTCATTTTATTATTGTTATTATTATTTTTTTTTTTTCAGTGTAGTAAACGGAAATGTTAGCGTTTGCATATGTAATTGAGTATTTACATTTGTAAACAACTGCACGTCGCAGATTAAGAAGAATCTGATTTTGTGATGTTGACAAAGTTAGCGAATCAAGGCAGTTGTACAATATGTATATATAATTTGTAGAACCATAAAAGAGTTAAATATTATGAAGGTTTATTTGAAAAATTTATGAAAATTCAAACATCCGTTTTGAGATAGTAAGACTATTAACATTTTTATTGTCATCGCCAGCGATGTCTTACACGAGGAGATAAATTTGAATCCGTACAGGAATAATTTAACTAAAAGATACACTTGAAAACTTAAAATAATATATAATTACAAAAAAAAAGCTATGATTTAACGACTTGTATCAATTGTTTTGGTTGAATCTAACTTTTATGTGCAGGCTAGATTGGGGAATGTATATTTTCTTACATCACAAAAAAACTCCGTTTTACGAATTTTCAAAATTGAAAAAATTTTATTAGATGGACATTTTCGACACAAAGACTTGGATCTTTCACGTGCATTCTAACAAACACTTTTTGCTTCCTCGTGATAAAAAGTATAGACTTTATGTTGAAATAATTAGAGAAACATCACACAAACATAAAGTTTAAAAGAAAAAAAAATTAACATAACTTTGCACCAAACTCAGAAATTTATTGTTTCAAACTGCAAGATAAAACAAATTTAAAATAATATAACATCTATACATTCAGTACGTCAAATAATAGCTAAAAAATTTGTATTATTTTAGAACATGAAAAAATAGAGCGTTATTTATTGAAATTAGTGTTTAATAGATGAAAAACTTTAAATAGCTCCAACAAAATTTCGCACTTCATTTATGTTTTTGTTTTAAAATTTTCTTGTTCTCCAAGAAGTATGTCACAGAAAGAATTGTGTGTGTCCATAAGTATCTCGAAAGAAAAAAAAATAATGTTATAACTCCGGCAGATTTCGAAATAAAATTACTCGCATATGCAAAAATCGCTAATTATAAAACTGAAACAAAAGGAATAACAAATTTGTTTATAAAAGTGGAGAAAAAACTTTTGCTCGGAGTCAGAGTTTTCTCACATTAACCTCAGCACTAATATAATAGCGAATATTTCAAATGTAATAGAAAATTTGATGAAGTAACTTTGCTATATGAAATTTAAAAATAAATAAAAAATTTTCAAAACAAAAATAAGTTTTGTTTATCTTATGCCTCTAACTTATGATTAAAAAAAAAAGATACATGCATAAAGGATGTTTTCGAACGATACTTTGGAATTTGCATATCAATGTAAGGAAGATAAAAAATTAGCAAAAATTATCATTTATGCCTAACCATGTATCGTTAACTTGTCTCATCGTAATAGTTACAGTGTGTCAAACTTGAATTACGACTGACGCAAAATTTAATATCTTTTTTGCAAATTTCCCAGAATGGTAATCTTTACGATAAAAATCACGACGATTAAAAGAAACTCTTGGAAAAACAATAAATTTTCCAACGTCATAGCCACATGCATTTCACGATTCCTTACAAAATCGGCAGTCTAAAAAAAAAGGCACCAAATACGTTCTGTTCCATTCTCACCTGGAAAGATGGCCTTGAACTTGCTACCAATGAGATTGAGTACCTGCCCAAAAGTGCCCCTGATCGATTTCCCGGCGACCTTGATCGGTTTGGTAAGTTCGCCGATCAGTTGGTTATTAAACTTGCTCGAATTTTTGTGGGTGCCAATGGCTCCGTTTAGCCAACCGATCCACTTGAGAGGCTTTATGAGAGTAAGCATTATCTTCTCGACCGGCGACACGAATGTGGGTATCGGCCGTTGACTGTCCTCCGAGAAGAGGCCTCTGCTCTGGACGACAACGACTTTGTTCCTGTACTCGGACTCGACCCCCTCGGATGGATAATCGTGTGCGGTATTATTGTCCACCGGCCCGACAAGTGCGTCGTCCTCAAACTGGCAGTTCACGGCATTGAATACAAGCAAAAGATTCAGCAGCACGTGAAAAGCGAAGATGCGCCTCATCGTGGCTCCTTATTGTAGTGTCGGTATATCTTAGCTCTCGTACTGCTGTGTTTGTAGATTATAAACTCGGTATTACGAGGCGTTAAAGTATAGATAAATACACCCATGAACCGGTGTGCAGAGGCTCGTGAGCATTAAGGATATAACTTGTTTCAATGGCACCGCGTCTTCGTTTTGGGCGCTTGAGATAGAATATGGAAGGTGATGAGATGCGCGTGGCGAAGGTGAATGATTACTGATTTTCAGGATTACACTCGCTGCAATGCATTAATATTTATGAGTTTTGTAATTACACGTTCAATTTCGTAATTTCAATTTCAATGGGATAAAACATTCTGTATGCTTTTTCGGTGACATTTATTATAATGGTATGCCAAATGATGGCTTCTTCTTTACATTTTGCTGTCGTATGCTAACAGCGGTAAGCTTTGGGATAAAGAATTCATTCGATAAATTAAGTTATAAAATGTACGGTACAAGGTCTATGAAAACAAAAAAGAATGCTAAGATCATTCAAAACTCACCCTCTTAGAAAACCAACAAGGTTACACGAGGTTCAACGAAACGTTGTATCATAAATAAATTTAATCAGTTGTATAAAAAAAAAAAAATTTACAGTATCGGGAGATCGGTCCTGTTACTTTCGAAATAAAATGCCCTGAAAGGATTATTCACGTATTAGTTTGCACTAATCGACAACTACTGAGCACATATTTTGAACCACGAACAACTACACTGTTTGTTTAATTTATTTGAAAAAAATGGTTTGAGCTTCGATCGATTCACTAACAGTTATGCACATGAGTATGTATTTCACAATAATGATATATACATACGTATCATAATATTCAATACATATACACGAAAAAGACAAACAGCGAGAAACGAGTGGTTTTGGTTTCAATGCCACCGTTTCGGTAATACACTTTATTTACATTTTCACGAGATTCCATCTATATATTATAACGTAACGAGACGCCCCGGACTCGATTACTATAGAATTTATTTCAAGATATTTACGGATTACACTTTGCTTAAACGAATAAACGAAACTATCAAAAGTATCAATAGTGCGAGTGTAGTGTAGTGCACGCAATATTTTATAATCATATGCATAACGTTAATAACGAATCAACGACTGAGTCGAGCCTTTAATTGAGGTATAGGGATGATTGAGTTTCGATCTGCAAAAGAAGCATTAAGCTTTGGGATGAGTACTATATTAGGCGTTTTGAAAAATGATACAGATGAATCAAGTTTTTAGTCGGCACTGCTATTGTGTATATTTTCAAAGGTCTTTTGTTTTTTTAACAGTATAAGTGATTACGCGCTAGTGGATGATTAAAATGTTAAGGAAAAAGAATTATGATAGCATTAGTTTATTAGTTACGTTAGTGTGATAATTTTTTTTTTCTTTTTTTTCGTGGTACCGTAATAGTTTTTGTTTTTCGTAAAAATAATGATGAAACATTATAACGAAAAAGGTGCATTTATTGTATGTAATACAAATTTCAATGTTTACCAGTTCAAACACTTATGTCCCAATGGATGATACCTACATATTCGTAATAAAGGATTAAAAATTTATTTTTGAATCATGGCAAAACGAAAGAATAATAAAAAAAAAATGAATTGAATAATAGATTTTAATTACAGGATAAATAAGTAATTATTAATTATACACCTTGACTGAATAAGGTATAAAAGTGTTAAAAGGGTTTCATTTTTTTCATATTTATGTTAATTTATTTTTGTAATATTTTTTTTTAATAAACTAATAAAAAATCGCGTTTTTAAAAAAAGACTTAAAATATTTATAATTAAACTGATGTCTGTATTGTATTTAATTGAAAAAAAAGTTGTGCTTCTACTTTCATCATATTTCTTTATATTAAGTTCATACCGTACCTATTATTATTATTAAAACACGAAATTAGTATTTTATCTTTCATTTTTTAGAATATTATATTTTTCTAAACGGTCTACTGATACGTGTTTGTTACCAAATTAATACTGCAGAACTTAAATAAAAGTAGAAAAAATACAATATCTTCACAGTTCCTAAAATATCCTAGGATAACATAATTATGCCAATAATAAATACAGTATAGATATCTTGAATAAAAATAATTTATAGTATATTCTATTGTTCTATCAATAGTATTTACGGAATAAAAATGAGAAATTTTTGAAAATTAAAAAATCAATTACTTACCTCAAATCAGGTGTAATAACCGAGCAATGTAGTTCGGTGGCTGAGCGCAAACTGTTTGCTGATTTCAAGTCAGCCGCGCTTTTTTTTATTCCTCCCGATCAGCTCACTGTATAATTATCTCTTTGTATGTAACGACACGACTCCAGCAAACAGGAAACCGAACAAGCGTCAACGTTTTATATATGTTAACTTGCTTGATTATTTATCGTTAGGCATGTAAAAAGCATTGTAAAGTTGAGATAAAGGATTAAATCCAGTATCACTATGCTCACATACCGAAATTTTTTTTTTTTAAGCGATTCTTAGTGCCAATTTCACACTACTAAAAAAAACGATTTTTTTTGTATACATTATTATAAAAGGTTTTTTATTTTATTTCTTTGTTTAAAAAAATAATCTTACAAGTAAATGATAAGGAGTTTAAAACCTCAACTATTTCGAACTAATTAACAATTTACATTAAGCTACACATTATGTTAACGTGTAATATAAAATTTTACATGATTAGCGCCGACAATAAGGGAAACATATTCTAGCTACGCGATAAAAATGCGACATTGACAAAACATGCTTATTGTTGATTGCATACATTATCCGTCAACTAATTTGATATCACCATCCCAAGTAATATTGTAAAATACTGTGTTATTTTTTCTTGACATAATCTTTGTGTGATGACAAGAGAACTACTTGCGATAAACAGTATTAGAAACGTTTTTTTTTTTTTTTTTTTTTAAATACAAAATATACACGCGTGAAATAGTTTTATTGCACTGCAGATAAGATAAATCTCGAATAAGCTTGATCGCAATATTAGCTGTCATTTACTTTACTCGTGGATGCTTCCTCATTGGTAGACTGTCTTCGCTGTATTCTTAAACACTTAGGGCAGCAAATGTTTCGTTTAGATCGACACAAACGGTGATACACTGTTGAACATAATTGGCACGTCGTTACAGTCGTATCCCATGGATAGATGACTTCGTCATTTCCACATATTTCACATAGATGACCCCTGTGAAGAATATAATGTAGGAAACAGCTTTACATTCTACAATTATTTCATTTAAAAAATTACCTAGCTTTGCAGTGATCACATGTTTGAGTAATGTGAGTTTTCATTTTACCATATGAAAGATGGATTTCATCTATCAAAGTTCCATTTTGAAGATCTACGAGATCTTTTACTGAGTAACTTGCAGAATTTTCCAGTATATGCGTCCTCAGTCCTGATCTCCATGGCAATCCTTCATTGCTTGCTTTTGGGCACACCACAAGGTATTGCTTCATCATATGTAATTCTTCTCTGAGTCTCTAAGATTTGATATTTATTTTGAACTAACTCGTTGTGTAACAAAATTCATCAATTGAATAACGTACCTTGATCAGTGATAAATCGGGAATTAATGTAAATAATTTCTGATTCAATTTTTCTAGTAATAATACTGGTTTGTTTTGCAAAATAGATAACAGCTGATAAGAAGCCCTGCAAACTTTTCTCGGTTCCATATCCCAATTATGAATGATTCTTGCTGGAATTATAGCCAGTGAATTCCAATGGCATCTTTGGCAGTAATACAACCCACTATAGTCACACAACCGAGGTTCTACCCATGAAGATTCTGAAAATATGCATTTATCAAATCAATTCCATGAATTACACTTTGTAACACGCAGCACAAGTAATACTGGATCGCTATTACATCTATTAAAACATGCTTTTTTACAAGTCTAGCGTCTTGTGTTTTACCTGTATACTTAAAAGGACTGCCAAAACAGGATAAAGACAATCCTTGTGATGCAGCTTGTAATTTACAAATTTATTAACTTATTTACACACGTTAACTCACAGCTATAAACTACTGTGCCTAGTTAAGATCGACCAGCATCAATCATAACCGTGAACTTTCACAAGGATTCTAAGTATAAATGTTAAACAAAAGTTTGTAGAAACTTACTAAATGTTATTTTAACATTACACTCAGCACATCTGTATCCTTGTGCGGATAAACCTCTTTCTGGACATATATCTTTAGTATAAGTGTATCCACCGACTTCACTTGCTATAACATGAACACATACTCGGCAAATATTTGACATACATTTTAGATGACAACAGAATCCACAATCTAAAAGATGTAAAATTTAAAATAAATTTAAAACAATTTTTTAACTGATTTTGTATACAATACACACCCTTGCACATGTACCAGGATTGTAACATCGTCCAAATACTGCCACTACAATGATCACAATAAACAGAATTATAAGTAGTAATATAATACTTCTGAGGTGTAAAATGATGTCCTAAAATCACACAAGTTTCCAAAGCTTTTTCATTCGAGGTTTCTCGCAGTTCTTGAGCTTTAAGTCTTAGTTCTATTAAACGTCTAACAAGCCATTTCCTTTCTTCAGAGCATTCTGCACTTTCGAGAACCATATCCTTGCATTTCGTTATCATCTCTTGAAGATCATCTTGACTCAAGGACTGTTTGTAAAATGAGTTTAAATAAATGCCTTCAATTGCAAATATAATAAGAATACTGTGATACACAAACCTTGGTTAGGGAGAGAAGATCCTCAACCGATTTAAGAGTGCAAGGTATGGGTTCTTTGCTGTCAGAGCTATCATCCTCTTCAACAGTGATATAATCTGATGAAGAGGACGGCATTGATGGTGATGCGTCAAAATTTCGTGTTTTGAAGCGATCAGTTGATTCTACACTCCTATTCATTTTACTGAAGTGTTGAATATTAGTTCAATCTGAAATAGCCATGTACAAGATTTTTAACATATATGTAAAATATGCGTAGGTAATATTGTTAATATATTTTAATATTAATACTCACATTTTACACATACTCCATACAGGGTTATTGTCTTTAGTATAGCATCCATACACACTTTTGCAAGTATTAGTTATGGATTTACATAAAATGATACTTTTTTCTGCTCTTCATTGATAAAAAGAATAGTCGTTTAGCACTCAACACAGCTAATTATAAATTATTGCAATTCAGCAATAAAAGAAAATGACATCGCAGCAGACGGTTTTTTTTATCAAGTACCCTGGTGGAAGAATCTTGAACTTTTTCACCCACGTAACAATATGTGTATATGGTGTAAAAGCGAAAATTCAAATTTATATTTTTAAATACTTATTTAAATAACTACTTCGTAAGCTATTTCATCATGATTTCATCTATTGGAACTATTCGAAATTTCAGAAAGTTTAAGAAAGGACAACTGCATACAATTTATGCCTGATATAATATGTACAATAAATTACTTAATTTACAACCAACGCTATCTTCCCTACGTAACACAGCATTCAGTTTCTCGGGGTATTCGAAAATAAAAAAAAATTCAGTCGAACAATCGATAAGAAAGTATCCGCACATCCCACCGGTATAGTAGGGGAACCCATTTACTTATTGTTGGGCTTAGTTATGGTACCTTATCTCTTTCCCATAAAGAAGAGACCCTGTCATGCCGATAACCAATAATGATAAAGTATATCATACAGATACCCGCTAGATGGCAGTAATCCCGATAACCATTTTTTATTTTTTCATTTTTTTTCCTTTGGGTTTGAATTAGTTCGTAAACAAAATACTTAAGTACTTTAACCTAATTGCTTGTGTATTGTCTGGGTCACATTGATTATTGTAAAGCTACCTTTTAAGGTAAAAATGTTTTATGATTATGAAACTAAGTCGTGATACTAAAAAATTATTCACAACATAGTTATCAAATTTCTACAATGTGATTGCTACTTTAAACGTTAAAACATAACCTTAAGAGCCGGCTGGTTCTGGCTCATTTTATTTTTATTTTTACATCTTATTTATGCACTTCAATATTTTCGAAAATGGCGTATAAAATCGCACACGATCTGACCGCCAAAGAGCGAACAAGTGATGTCGAAGTACAGGAAGATGTGACATTTACTGAGATGGGCTTATCAAAACTTGTTTTGAATGGACTTTTAAGCTGTGGTTTTGTAAAGCCATCTCCTATTCAGAATAAATCTATTCCTTTAGGGCTATTAGGATTTGGTATGATACTATTATTTTTACTACTTTTGGTTAAACTTACGTCGTCTTTACTATCAATTTGGAATTATTTATCATAGATCTGATCGTAAGAGCAAAATCAGGAACTGGCAAGACTGTTGTTTTTGGCGTCATAGCTTTGGAAAAGATAAATATTAAATCAAATTTTGTCCAAGTAATAATATTAGTTCCAACGAGAGAAATAGCAATACAAATTACTGATGTTCTCACATCAATTGGATGTGAAATAAAAGGTATTTATATGCTGTAAATAAAGGCAGAAGTTAAATATTGTATTTACTAAAAGAAAAATTTTTTTAATAGGTTTGAAAGTAGCGTCTTTTATTGGAGGTACTGCACTTGATGCTGATAGGAGAAAGCTCTCTGGTTGCCACATAGCAGTAGGAGCTCCTGGTAGAATTAGGCATTTAATTGATAAAGGATATCTAAATGTTGAGCATGTTTGCCTTTATGTACTAGATGAAGCTGATAAATTGATGGAAGACAGTTTTCAAGCTGACATCAAGTGAGTGGATTCTTTTAATGAAATTATGTTAATTACTTCCATGATCTTATGAATGAATAATTTTTAGCTATGTGTATTCAAAACTTCCTATTGAAAAGCAAGTTATTTCATCTAGTGCAACTTATCCTGGAGATCTAGAATTTTTTTTAGAATCATACATGCATTCTCCAATTTTGTCATCAGCAGATGATGGACCTATTCTCATAGGACTAAAACAATTTGTTACTGTAGTTCCTCATCATCCCAACGCTATAAAACAAGTATACTTTATTGTTACGCATAAAAATTTTTTAAAATCATCCTCTTCTTACAAATAGGATTTTTCAGGTACAAATAAAAGTAAACGAGTTGGTAAAAATTTTCAAAAAAGTTCCGTTCAAGCAATGTTTGGTATTCAGTAACTATCAAACCAGGTAATAATTTTAATTCATACTACAAGGCTTGTCACATTGATTGATCATCACATTTATTTCACAGAGCTCAATCAGTTTGCAATAAAATTAATTCAATAGGATACGAATCAATTTTTACTGTTGGAAATCAAAATATGGATAAACGATTAGATGCCATGAATAAATTAAAAAATTTCAAATGTAGAATTATGTTAACCACAGATCTAACGGCTAGAGGAATAGATGCCGAAAACGTAAATTTAGTTGTTAATTTAGATATTCCGAAAGACAGTGCTACATATCTTCACAGAATAGGAAGAGCAGGTCGCTATGGTTCTCGTGGTGTATCAATAAATATAGTTGCCGAAAATGAGATAAGTACTTTTCAAGATCTTTTACTTTCTATTGGTGGTAGGACTTTCTCAATTATGAAGTTACCTCAAAACTATCCTGAAAATATTTGGGATACTAGTGATGCAGCATTTGAAAAATTACTAGCAACTCAAGAAAAAATACGCGAAGACAACACCGAGGCTGAAAAAAAGATAATTGACTCGGTTAACGGAACAATTGTAGATTCATTATTTGATTCGAAAGTTGCAGATTTGAATGTTATACAAGTACCGGAAAGTGGTAAAAACACGAAGCAACAAAAAGAGAAAAAAAACATAAAACAATCTATCAAAATAGATAATTTGGATATGTCTAGCAGTGCAATGATAAATGGTCAATCAGAAGATTTCCGAAATAATACGGTTTCTATAAGTTCAAATGATTTATCAAATAATGAAAAAAGTACAGTCAAACTGTACCCAATGAAATTGATAAAAAGTAGACATTCAAATAACAATAGATACAATCGAAAAATAGCTGATAAAAATGTATTACAAACAATGATTCATAAAGAAATTGATCTTAAAAAAATTACTAATGAGAGTAGGACTCATTATGGTAACGATGTATTTGAAACTAATAATTTCAAAATTTTGCTCAAAATGAGTGCTGATGTACAAAAAAGTTTAAACCAAAAAGATTCAGAGGAGTGGGTACTGCATGAAGCACTCCGTTGGAAAAATATTCTAACTTATGAGATGTCCTTGTTGGAAAATTTATTACCTAAAAGGAATAATGAAACCAATCTATGTGAAAATAATTTTTATGCAGCATTGTTCGTTTTTTATTACATACAAAAAAAAGCTTTATTATGTGTATATCCTGAAATCCGAGATGAAAACGAAATAAAAGATACATATTTGTATTCTGAAAATAATCCTAAAGTAAATCTTCTTAAAATGTATGGAGAAATTGAAGACTTCAAAAGCATGTGTCGTGGTAAAAAAAATCAATTTGATTCTTGTTTTCCATATCCGACTGATTTCAAAAAACCACTACCGAACCTCATGTTGAGTGAAGATGAATTAAATGAATACAAAGTAGCTATAAAATATTTGATCTCGAACATAAATATTTATGAAAAATTTTGGAATAAAATAAGGTTTATATTAAGTTCTCTTGATGATAATAGCAAGCAATCGTTGACTGAGAGATTAAATGCCAACTATGAAATCAGCCATGATGAACTACTTACATTGGTATCAGATAATGTTAATAAAATATGTTTAGAGCAATCAAATGGTGAATGCACAAATGAACTAATTGATCAACATACAGAAAAACTTGAAGAAAATGATGTATCCATCACCAATGATTTAAATGCTGATTCTAAATCATCTACAAATTATATTCCATCAGAAGTACAAACTTCAGAAAAACATAAAAAATCTACGAAGTATATTCCATTAGTGTCAAATAATATTACTTACAGTAATAGTACAGGTGCTACATCATCTAGTCAACATTATGAAGCTGGGTCAAAAAGTACTAATGATAATACATATGCAAAAAGACGAAACCAGCATACAAATCAGCAGTCACAGTATGATTATAATTCTAATAACCACTGGTATCCAAGTCATAACGCCGATGACAATGATCGTGGGAGCTATAATTACTTAGATTACAGGATTTCTAACGATGAATTAGAGACTTTTTTCATAAATCTAAGGCATCAAACTGATCAGGTTCATTTGCGCGAGTACTACTACCATATGATTAATGATAGCTGAAATATAATTTTTCATGTAATTTTTTTAACAATAATAAATAGTGCAGTTACCCAACATTAAATCTATTGCGTTGTTGCGTATCATTTTAACCCGTAATTTCTTTTTTGGCGCCTAAACCTTTCAACTCGCACGGTAAAATTGTAATCACTTTGATCATTAATCTTCAGCAGCCGACGCTGAAATCTGAATGCCGGTGTGCGAAGGTGCTATATTTTAAACTCTACTTATTTGTTTTATCGTTTTACTTGCGTTCTTAGTATATTCTGTTGATTAGTATTTAATTAAATATGTATAGAAAAACACTACATTTCAAATTCAATGCTTACTAAGAATTTCATCCAATGAACTTTTTATTTACAAGAAGTGAATATTATTAAAGAGAGAATAAATTTGAACATGTGAGCACATTTAGTAACCTCAAAACAATGTTTACATAGCGAAACGTTAAACTTGAAGAAAGATTGAAGTTAATGTTATTTTTTTTAAATAACTCTTTTTGTTCATTTCAGTTGTATGCTGACTTGCAGATATAAATTAATTTACAGACAAGTGTGCAAAATGAGTATTTTTACTCAAAACATAAACCCAATTACTGGGACCCAAACATGGGAGGAAAGAGATACAGATTATGATTACTATCAAGAAATTGCAAGATCAGCCTTTGCTGACATGTTGCATGACCACGAGAGAGTAGGTATTTATTATTATAATTGATTCAATTGCTAGTCTCATTTATTTATGATTTTTTTAGAATGTAAAGTATTATCTAGGTCTCAAAGCAGCTATTGAAAAAAAGCATAAAGCAGGTCAAGAAGCAAATGTTTTGGATATTGGAACTGGAACAGGTTTGTTGTCCATGATGGCAGCACAATTGGGTGCTGATAGTATAGTAGCTTGCGAAGTGAGTAAAACTGTATTTACATTACTACTGTCCCAGTAAATTGTAACTAAATATGTTATATTTTCTGTTAGACTTTTAAACCAATTGCAGAATGTGCCAAAAAAATAATAGAAAAAAATGGTTTTGGTGATAAAATTAAATTAATTTATAAAAGGTCTACCAAGTTGACAGTTGGAAAAGATGGTGATTTATTGAAAAGAGCAAACATATTGGTTACAGAAGTATTTGATACAGAACTTATAGGAGAGGGTGCTCTTTCAACTTTCCAACATGCTCAAGATATCCTTTTAGAGGTAGGTGAATTGAAATAAAAAAATTACAAATTTTAAAATGAAGTAAAACATTTTTTACAGAAAGATTGCATTGTTATACCTAGCAGTGGGACTATTTATGCTCAAGTAGTTGAAAGTACATTTGTCAAACGATGGAATAGAGTTGATCCTTTAAAACATAATAATAGTGAAACTACCTTGATCGAAGCTCCTGATGTGACACAAAGTTGTTCCGGAGCTTCATCTGTGCATGATATACAACTTTCGCAGTTACCCCAAAATTCTTTCACTGCATTGACAGAACCACTGCCAATGTTTGCGTAAGTAGATTTTTTCTTACAAGATTTGCAATAACGAGATTCAGTAAAAAATATTTATTACGATAATCTGCTACTTTTAGATTTGATTGGACTGGTAGGATTAGTTTGAAACTCAACGATAAAGTAGTTCTTAGTGTTAAACCTATAGTTGGAGGAACGGCTCATGCTATTTTTATTTGGTGGGACTTAGATATGGATATGGATGGCCAGGTATACATATAAAACAGATGGGCTTATAAAATTTATTCATATTTTCATCGTAAAACATTTCATGCAGATCAAATTAAGTTGTGCTCCAGTTTGGGCGCATCCAGATGTGCAGACTAAATTAAAGAATGACATAAAATATGAAAAACTGGCAGATCAAATCCCATGGAGAGATCACTGGATGCAAGCTGTTTATTATTTACCGAATGACTATTATGTAACACCAGAAAAAGAAATTTCTCTTACTGGTTACCATGACGAGTATTCCTTTTGGTTTTCTTTGAACAACACATCTAAGTACAGTTTTTTTAATTGTTAAATGTAAATAATGTCAATTTTAATTGTTTTGCATACTTACAATTCTTACCATTTTTAGAAACGAAAACTTAAAAAGACCAATATGCGAATGCTACACTCACCTAGCCCTCTCCAGGACTCGTATTGGTCAGTGGAATGACGAGAAAAGAAACAATAAATTCTTGGAAGCAATATCTAAAAAAATTAATCCAGACTCGGTGTGTCTCTGTTTTACTGATACGTCACTCTTAGGTCTTTCAATTGCAAAAATGGGAGTTAAAAAAGTGTACTTATATGAGATTAATTCTCTGTCTTGTAAAACAATCAAAATGTACGTGAAGAAGAACAATCTTGCCGACAAAGTGACGATTGTCGATTCAGCTGATAAATTACCTTCAAATGACGAAGTCACACTTATTTTTGGTGAACCTTACTTTGTCTCGTCCATATTACCTTGGGATAACTTGCATTTTTGGTATCTTGCTTCTAAATACCCACAAAGTATTTCTCGTGTTCCTTACAGAGCTGTGATAAAAGGTATTGTGGTAGATTTTAAGGATCTTCATAAAATTCGAGCCCCTCTAGGAATCTGCGAAGGTTTTGATCTGACAATTTTTGATGATTTGGTACAGGTAACATTTAAAAGTATGTAAGAACATAAAATTTATTTGTTAGTAATAAAATTAATGTCAGAATTTTTTGTAGTCTTCAAGTGCAAAGGCAGATAGTCCAGTAGAAGCTCAACCTCTTTGGGAGTATCCAGGAACGGCACTTAGCTTACCTTTTACAATAGCAGACTTCAATCTTAATGAAAACGTCCAGCAACTAAGTCGGATTGACGTGAACTGCAGTACTCCAATTGTCACGTAAGATACTTTTGAAAATTTTTAACTCATTATTTAGACATCTTAAATTAATTTTTTATATTATAATAGAAATGGTACATACAATGGAATTGCGATCTGGTTAGATTGGCACTTAGATGAAGATACAGTTGTATCAAGCGGTCCTACTGAAGATATATTTCCTGGAAAAAGAATATCATGGGATCCTTATACCAGACAAGGAGTTCACTTACCTCCAAATACCGAAAAAGTAACTAACGAAAACACTCTTGAAACATTTTTCAAATTTAATCCACAAGAAGGGACATTGCGATTCAATTTTAAAATGATAAAAAAAGGTGAATAAAAATACTTTTGCAGTCTCAATATAACTTGTATTGTAATATAAATTATATTTTTTTTTTTGATAACCTGGATAACCTGAGAAAAACATTTTTATTTTGCAATAGACAAATTTTAGATATATTTTTTATTTATTTTTAAAATATATTGTCTCTCTGTCAATCTTTTAAAACAAAACTCATTATTTACATTAACTTAATTACTGTTTCAACATTTTCAAAAAGTAGTATCAGGTAATGTCCTCAATTGTTTGGCCAGTCTTTTTCCAATCAGTTTTGGATATGCTTTTTGTTTGATTAAAAATTCTTTGCTCTGATGTGTCACTGCACCATTTTCTAATTGAAATCTAAAATTTGTCAGAATAATATGTTTGCAATAAGTTGTTTGAACTCATTGAAATATTTACACAAAAGAGGGTAAGTCTTACTTGCAAAGGTAGTGAAGTGGTCCAAGCATTCCATCTTTTAACCATGGCTTGTTTTCAAGTATTGAAAGGGCCAGGGCACCACTCTCCAGAGTCGAAAGACAGCCTTCTGTAGGTTGTGTCCTAATTACATACTCACTAGTTGAAACATTAACAAGTTTGCATGACTTTAACTTACTTAGAGCAGGACTAGCAGTATACATTGCCTGCAAAATAAAATGAGAGACAAGTTCAGTCTACTACTTCTAAGTATCCAAGTCAATGTTATAGTAGAAAAAAGGAAACCTTAGCTTGAGGCCAAGTTCCATCCAGCAGAACTAAATTGTAAGGCTTCTGACCATCTGTTCCAACAGGAGTGAATTCATTCAATGGTACTGCATTAGGAGATGGATACAACAAAAGAGTATCCGGGTCATTTAGAATTTCCATCAAACCCTCGTGTTTTGCAGAAGGAAATTTTTTACCTCTGAAAATAAAAATTTTTAAACTTAGCTTACTTTTCATAACTTAAACTGTAATATATAAAGTCTCTTGCCTATACGTGATACACTTTCCAGCCTCAAGTGCCAAAGTAAGCATGGGAGCAGTTCTCAAGCATCTCTTAACCTCAGCAGGATGCTGGAGAACAACTATTCTCGAGGAACACTTGAGCGGTGTCGTGGGCAAACCTGGACACCAACACACACCTGCCGGTCTCCTGTTTTACAATTACCAAGAATAATTTATCAAAATTTCTTTCAAATAACTCTAAACAATTGAATTTACGTGGAAATTCGATGACCTGCACTGGAGACACTTGTCACGCATTTCCGGCGGATCAGCCGGGATGTTGGAGAGTTCCTCCCAAATTTCACTCTCGTCCTTCATCCCCCCCCCCAAAACTGAAGATGTTTTGATTGCCAAATTGATGGTTAAAATAACAACAAGGTCTCCAACGTGCTCACATTGTTTTGATTAACTGTTTACACTTACACACTGTATATACACAGTGGAACCATGTGACCTACTCCCAGTGACGGCGGTGACGCTATCTGACGCTGTGACAGTCGACAAACAATTTTAATGTAGAACTAATGTGGTTGGTGATGATTATTTATCAGTTATTGCAGATAAAACTTACCGATTCTTTTTGAAAAACTGTATTTTACTTCTCTTTCTGAATATAATTAATTTTACGTTATAACGTACATACTTACGTATTTATTAATAATTTGCAATTTATTTCTTACTTACATTTTCTCTTCACTATAATTTTTTATAAATATATTGTGTGTGTGTTTAAACTTTCAATTAGTCGTATAAAAATTTTTATCCAACTGAAGAGATGTATACGAAAAATAATTGGATCGAAAATATTTTTGCTATTATTAAATTAATGAAAATTCATGAAATTTATATCTATCTTTAAAATGCTTTAAAAAATGTTATTTATTGTTTTTCTGGCAGGTACTTTAAAATGATCCTTCGAGATTTCTTACAATTTTCTTTGAAATTACAAAAAATGTTTTCTGCAACTTAGATTACCTAGCTGTGGTTACTAATGAAAAACTACACACCTTCAATGAGTTTGGTAGTAATAAGAATAAATTGAAACTCAATATTACAAAATCCTGTCGAACAGGAGAATTTAATTATCAAATTTACACAAATAAATACTATATAAATAATATTACAATATCAGATTTTAATTTTATACATTAATTAGCAGGCTCAATACAAGTTGGTATTGCAATGTACTGTAGTATTATAATGATTAAGTTTTAGGTTTTTGCCTTTCAAAAACCACATTTGAGCTTTCAAGTATTATTCCTTTTTTTAACTTTAATCTTGACCTTGTCAAAATTTCATAAAAAGTACAAAAAAAGTTTTAAATTACTCCGATTTTGAACCTGAACTAATTTCAGAACGATGCTCTAAACGCTCTTCGGATGCACCGTCAACACTGCTATCATCATCAATTATTGGTTTATTTACTAATTTTTTATCATAAGGAATGTTTCTCTTGTTACCAGGAAGCATCATGGGTACAACTTTTTTATTGAAGTCCGGTGGCATGAAATCGCTGCAAAACCTATAAAAGTCATAGCGAGTCTTGATAATGCCCAATTTCGCCATTTCAACCAATAAATTGTCCAAATCAGCCACATAATTTTCATACTTGTTTCTCCGAATAATTACAGTGTAGATGCTTGATAGTTTTAAAACGAATTTTTCCGATTTGACTCTTGTCTTTAGACCGAACTTTGGTTCCATAGCTTTCCATAGATATTTGTACAGTCTGGGTGTTACCCAACTCTTGGGTTTTGGTAGTTTTGGTTGTTTGTATGGTTTGCCACTTACGTAAAATGCCTTATTGATAGGTTTTTTAAGTTTCTCTTTTTTCCGGGCTTCTTGGGCAACTTTGACACGTCGTAATTTCTCGTTGATTATAGCTTTTTTCTTTTCCTGCTTGCGCTGCTCTTCATAAGTGTGCTGGTTACTCGCTTCAATTTTAACCTTTAGAGCCTCCGTTTTCTTTTTAATCGTTGCCCACACTGATGGATCAATATTCGAAGTGCTTTCTTGTAGAGCTTTCTCCCTTCTGCTTATCATTGGTCTGAGAAAAAAAAATTATCTTCATTACTCTGTTCTTTAAATTATTTATATAAGTATCTTTTGCATAAAAATTACATACTTTTCAGTCAAGAAGGCTCTGACGCGTTCATCATCAGTGGTAATCGTTCTGTTTTTATTAGACAATGGATGAGAGGCAGAAGAATGTGGACGAGAAGGAAGGGGGCCTTCCTCGTTGCTGTTGTACACTTCTACATCTACAAAGTCGTCGACATCAACATTTTCTTCATCAACCTGTAGTTCACTCTCTTTGGTTCGTTTTGGAGTTTCAGGAATTGCACTCATGCGAAAGGCTGCAATAGGCTTTCCGTGAAAAGTAAGAGTAGACTGAGCCGGTGCTAGTGGTCGGAGAGAGTCATCTTGGTTTTCAGTACTTTCAGAATCGTAAGTGTGTGAAAGTTGCAAATTTTTAGGCATTTCACTGATTTTCAGTTTTATATTAGATTTGTCAATTTTATCAGTGGATGGTATTATCTTTGTATTACTGACAATTTGATCAACTGGAACATAATTTTCTGAGCCTGGTACCATTATATTTTCCAAAATGATACGTGGCTTCTTAAGGCCAATGTTTGGTATGGCATTTTGAACGTCACGAAGCGTAGAGATAGCAATTGATTTCCTTTTTTCATCCATTTTTTGTGATTCGTTAATCTGTAAAACAAAAGATTTTAAGTTTTTCCATCAGAAAAATGACAAATTCAAAATCTAGACTTACAAAATCATTCTCAGCTTCACTTTTTTCTGTTCCAAATGATGCTTCAAACCAACTCTTCTCAATATTTGATCTACGATTTGAAGTTGAGTTTTCTTTATTTTCTACATTATTCATGAAGTTTTCCTCAGTCTTTTTTTGAAGTGATCTACTACGACTAGTAGCTGTTGATGCTGCATTAGGAGTATTTTCACTTCTCAAACTGGAATCTGATGCGTTTCCTTCATTAGTTTTATTGGGTGACACTTCAACACTTGCCTCGATCTTTTTACCCTGAGAAACATCATCGCTGCTATTATTTTCTTCTAATGCTTTTGAAAATTTTTGTACCACGTCAGAGCTCAATTGATGCTTGTCAGTAATTTTATTTTTTGAAAAAAATTTTGCTGAGTATTTAAGCTGTCTCTCTGTTTTAGAAGTTGAAGGTGTGTGAACACTCAAATTCTTTAAAGATCTTGGGCTTTTGGAACTATCATGAATTTTTTCTGTCAAACTTTCACTTCCAAAAACTTGATCAAATTTGTTTTTAAAATCTTTAGCAGCGTTTTTAGAAGATTTGAAAAGTCTTGGCCTCAATTTTTTTCGCATTTTTGAATCATCATTGGTTGACTCACTTAAATTTCCTTCAGATCCTTCAACGTCATTCAAGTTTTTTGAAATAGAGTCGGTTTTATGTAAAACTTCCATGAACACATTATTTTCCTCACTTGGTTTTTTTGCCTTCTTTAAAGCTTTAAATTTTAATACCTTTCTCTCAGGCTCGTCACTGCTTTCATTTTCCACTTGAGGATCTTTTGTAACATTTGTATCCTCTGTAAATTTTATGAATTGAAAATTTTGTCAGTCAAGATATAAATATGCAATTATTTAAAACACAACCTTCATCAAAGGCCATTTTTTTCGCTTCTCTTTCAAAGACTCTTGAAGTACTTGATTCCGACAAGTTTGTGTACCATCCTTCAGTCCACCGAGAAGACTTTACTGTTGAGTTTGAATTTAATACAGAACTAGCACGTGTGGTCAGGTTGAGGGATGTTGATGGACGCACAACTGTCCTGTTTGCCCACAATGGGTCCGCTAATGTAAAAAAACAGACTCATTTTAAGTCTATGGGATATAAGTATATTACAGCCGGAAAATCAACAAAATAACATGTAAGCATCTAACCGTTCTCCAGAATATCTGTGTTATCATTTAAGATGCCTGAGATGTTGCTCGACCTCCGGCTTCTGGTGATTCTTCGTTGAGACATTTTTTATTTGATTGATGTCTTAAATAAAAACGCCAACAACTTGATAATCAAATTTTTTCAGTTTATCATTACTTAATTCGTTTTTGAAATCGAGAACAAACCGTTCAAAGCTCCATCAACAGTAATGTTTACAGAAAACACGAAAGGTTTTGACAAGCAAACATGAAGTCGTGTTAAAGTGTGTTCACCTTTAAGAGAATATCCTCCTTGACCAGAAACTTGCAAAGCTGAACAAGTCTAAGTTTTTACAGCGTTGAGAGCTGCAGTTTGTTCAGTGAACTGTGCTACCGATGATCGGTAACACATACCTTCATAAGGTAAATACATGTGCGATACCGCCAATATCGCAACGTACTTTTTCATAATCTATAGTCTAAAAAAAAAAAAAAAATAAACAGTTTATTCGATACTTAGTGAAGATAGTGTCTACCTGACTCAACAAAAGTAATTGACGATTAATTAATTTTTTTATACTTTAATACGATTTTTCATGAATTCTATTCTACCACATGTACAGTTAGATAAGTACGTAAAACTTTGATGTATGAACAGTGAAACACACAATCTTCGTTTGACTAATATGATCATTTTTCCATCGCGACATCGTGATTCATTAATAGGACATGCAACGTTTTCAATAGTGTTTCGCGATATGCGCATAACTTTTTAAACAAATTTATTAATTTGAATAAAAAAAAAAAAAAATAGATAATTAGCATGAGAGCAAACAGTATGGAAAACGGTATTTGAATATTTATGGGACATGTAAATAATAATTTGTAAGGAGTTAATGAAAAAAGTTTTTTTTTTTTAACTGTTTCAGCATGGGTACATTTACCCAGTATTAAACCATACAAATTAAGATTGATTTGATCACGATTTATTGATGTTGTGCAAACTTAAGAGTTTTCATACCGGTCTAACTGCTTTGAAACTGCTTTTATGTAAAATAATGAGAAGCTGCATGAAGCTGATACCTAAAGGATTCAATGAAGCTAAAATTGATTGTATTTAATTGGAAAAGTTGCACCTGTTGATTATAAAAGAGTCTTTTGCATTTACTAAGTTTATTAGATTGAAAAACTATATTTCATGAGAATAAATGCATAACTGAGAATCAAACAAGCTCTTCATGAAATTTTTGGTTTAAAAAATTTATAAGTGTCCGGAATATACCATCATCCTTATGAAGCTTGAAAAATAGTTTCAACAAACATTATTGTAATCTTTGCATCATGTTTTGCAGAAAAATGGTGCCATAAACAAATTTTGAGGAGCGAGCATTTAACTCTGACAACGCTACTGAATGTGTGTAGACAGAGTTTAAAAAGCTCAAAAATGTAAAACGAGTGATGTGGTGTTTGATTTCGTCAGATAAGGTCAGCACTAACGTCAGCCTTATCAGAATGATAGGAAAACATTTTAAGACAAGAATCTTTGTAAAATGAAAGCGAGAAAGAGCTTGAAAAAAATTTATCGCACCATAGGTGTTTTTTTATATTAATTAATTAACGTATAGGAAAAACAGAAAATATTAGATGTAAAAAATATTGTTCGTCTCCGATGCGAAAAGCCCTTGAGAACAATAGAAAAATAGACACAATGAGGGAAAAAAGGAAATGACTATCAATATCTTAAACATACAAAATACATTTTATGCTTTGTTGGAGTACGTAAATTTAATTGAACGAAGTTTTAAACATAATTAACATAATATTTACTATTTTAAATGTATTTAACGTTCTTTTACTGAAATAAATCAACAGCTTTTCAAATTGAACCAATGTTTTTATTTTTTTTTCTTTCAGCATAACTCATTATACCTACTACCAAACTCGTATTATGAATCATAATTTTTCGTTATATTCACAATAACTGACACTATTATGTCATTACAATTGTTAATGAAAAAAAATAAAATAACGAAAGAGTGAGTTATCGATGATACATATTATACACACAAAACCGAAAATTACTGCTTAAACGAAAATAATAAGTATTTTTAAGGATTTATGTAGTTTGAAAGGTTAATCATCGTGACTTTGCCATGTCAGTAACAAGATAATACAGAGCATTATTTAGATATTGAGATATTTTCCAAAATTTCTTGGAAGATTAATAAAATTTATCACACGAGTAACATAAAATTGAGAGATGATATTTGAACAAAAATAATTACTAAAAAGGATGAAGATCAGGAAATATAGATATTAACGTTTCATTGCTTATTTCGATTTAAATCAATTTCTGACAACTTTCAAACGTCCAACAAATTAACGAAGGTTATTTGCCTATTATTTGCCTATTATTTGCCTAAATTTTTTAAATTTATTTTCTGTTGTGTTTAATTATTTTTACACGCTAAGGTGTAATATAATTTTCACATACGAGAAGACATAGATTAAGATTTAAACTTAGTCCCATTGTTGACAGTAGCAGTTTAGTTTTAATTTGACAATTAAATAAAATCTTCTGTTTGTTTTAAGTAATTGTTTGTAATAATATTGTAAAGAATTTTCTAAATCATAGTTCTTCATTCATACAGGTATAGATACTTATGTACTAATTAGTTCAATTGTAAAATTTCTAGGTAAATTTCGAAAATCAAATCATCCAGGTCATAAATGATCAACCTCGAATGCTTAATTAAAGAAAAAAAAAAAAAAAAAAAATTGGAATTCGTGATTAGCCAATTTTCTACATACACATATACTTTAGTTTTCCGGGCAGCGAAAAAGTCAGCTTTTAACAGTGAATCTATACGATATCGAGAAAATTTTCAAGTCTCAAGTACCATTCCACTAAGCCATAAGATAAGGAGAACTTAAACCAAAACGTTGTTCCCTCGTCATCACTCACCATGCCAATTTTTCTCATATCTCGCAAAAGTGCCTATGCCTATACGTTACAATCTTTCTCTAGTGCACGCTTCAACAATCTTCTACTATTATTATCGTACACGTTACGTAAAAGTACACGCTCGTGCAGTTGAGATTTTTCTCGGCCAAACAATCGTTTACACTAGTACAGTCTCGCTCGGCTTCTTCGACTAGCAACATCGCGTGTCAGCCAGTCGAAAGATTTTTTTTCATCCCAAAGCATTATTTATCCGTCCGTTCTGAAAAATGTCGGTCCTGCTCACTCTGCAAAACGACGTAGTTTTTCGGCACTTTGCATGGTGGTCAGCCGCAATGTCGGCGAAAATGCTATGCATGATGCCACTCATCGGACGTCAACGTTTTCGCAAATTAGTTAGTATAAACGACATTACGTACATATACATAGATTTACATTTGATTATAGCGAGTTTTTTTTTGTCGCTCACCCGTTGAATAATCCAATGCCGCTTAATCAATTATGCAAAATTATACTCGACCCCAAGCAGAAACGATACTTTCAAGTACGAACAGAGTTAGATGTGCTCGCGCGAACGAAAAGTGCTTGTTACAATGATTCTGTGCATGTACTTGTAAAGTACCGTGAAAATCACTCATTTATCTGTGTTAGATATTTATTGTCATAATGTTGTTCGTGATAGGTGTATTTGAATCCCGAGGATGCCCAATTTGTCGGCAAAAAAGCGCGTGTTTCTAACGACGACCCTGATGTTGAGCGCCCGCGACGAGCCTTTCTCAACGACCTCGAGAACATCCTACCGTGGTTCATCAGCACCAGCATCTTCCTTACGACCAGTCCCAGGTCAGCTTTGGCAATCAATTTGATGCGCATTTTTGGTATCAGCCGCATCGCTCATACTATTGTATACGCTGTCGTACCGATACCCCAACCAGCACGAGCTATTGCTTACTTCGTCGGATACGGAGTGACCGTCTACCAAATTTATCTTACTCTGTTACATTACTATTAGCGTAATATTTTGATAGATGTGTCCTTTTGTATAATGTTGTGAAGATTTTGGGTTCATTGTGGCTAATGTTTTTTTAAATAAAATTTCCATTGTTTTTCCAATAAACGAATCATTGTGATTGTCGCATTATGCATAGTCATTGAATCTAAAAGAGAAACTAAAAAAAGGCTCTCCGTATAAGTCTAAGAACATTTCTGCTGATTCATACAAAGTTCATGTGCATACAAATGTCTCTATTTCTATGTCTTGTTATCAGGAAACTTTTTACGACTATTTTTTGTATACAAAAACGAATTGAATATTAATTAATAAGAGTCACTGTAATGAAAGTCCGTAGTAATAACGGTCAGAAAAAAGTTCGTCACAGACGGTGTACTGTAAAATTAGCCATAAAAAATTTTTCAAGATGTATCATACGTATAATTTATAGAGTGAAATGTATAATGATTAAGAAACTACAAAAATTTGTGAGATATAAATCGTGTATTGAGACATTCTTTGATTACTAAATTTTTACAGTAGGAAAAGAACTTTTAAGAAAGCATATCTTTAATTTTTACTTATGTTTACGCTTGCTTTGAATATCTATGGTTTAGAATAATAGGTAAAACGGAATACAATATCTTAAATATAAAAATGTAATATTGTTTAAGACTATAAAATTTTTTATGCACATTATAATGAATATAATAAAACCGTTTCGTTTGTGATTATTTCCTCAAGTTTTTCAATGTAAAATATGTATTATTTATTTGTACACATTAATACTCTTTTAATAAATCAATAAATAACTTCATTTTATTCATTAAGAAATTTAGAAATAATTTGGTATGAATAAAACTATTTAGTAAACTGATTATAAACTAAATATTTGTAAAATTTTAAATAAAAATAGAGAACAGGAATAACAAAATAATTGGGATCTTGCACAATTTTCAGAAATAATTTAAAAATTAAGTTTGGATGTAATTATTGAAAGTTTATTTTTTTCAGAATTTTTAGAGCTCTTTTTCTATATAGTAAATAAATTATTAAAAGTGCTAAATTTGAATTGCACCTCATCTCTTTCGAAAACGCCTTGCCATTGGTCATTCCAGTATGACGTCATAAAGACATATTGTAGATCATAAAAAAATAGGAACATACTGAGATCCTTCAATCTTCTTAAATATTTATTTACTGTTTGTAATGATAGCATATGTAGGTTAGTATGGAAGCATAATTAATTTATATAATCTTAAGCATCTAATGATTATAATTTTCTGCTGCATTCATTACACTAGTCCTATTCTAAGAAGAAATTTCTAATAAAAATTTGACATCCACCTTAAAAGTAACGGCAACTCGCCAACTCATAAAGATACTAAATTATATGTGAAATTTTTTAAAATAAAATAAGCTTCTTATACAATGAAAAAGTCATTAAGCTCTGTATTATGAAAAAATTTTAAAGCACATTGTTGGTTTGGAGCACATTTACCAAGCTTTAATGAGAAAAAACTAAAAAAATTATATTTTTTTTGGTTCACAGAAATAAACAATACACAAAACATTATTTGCAAAGTAGACAAAAAACTTTATGTACAGTGTATCACGGTTTACCAAATACCATTAAAAACTTAATTAAAATCACGAGTAACTCTTAGAACATCTCAGAAAACCTACAATTGTATGGACGAATAGCAAAAGACACTGATTATGCTCTCAGATAAATCAAGTAATATTAAAATTTGATATACAACTACGAAATTTTTCTCTTTTCCACAAGGTTTTCACAGAGAACAAAATATTAAACATAGACTAGAAGTTGATTGTTTTCGATATCAGACTACACTTCTGAAAGTTTATAATTGTCAAGAATCCGCTTGGATTGGACAGACTAATCTTCACCAGTAATAAAAAACTAAAGTTGTAGGTACTCTAAAAATTAATTATATGTACTGTAGAGAAAGATAAAGCCTCTTAAATCCACTGCATATCCCCTACAATTCGACGATTGAAAAAAAAAAAAAAAAAAAAAAATTTAAAAAAAACGGTGCTTCTACAGCCTACTGCATATCCCAGAATTAGATTTTGAGATAATCATCTAAAAAGAAAATCTTATAGGCATAGCGCCTCTTAAGCCTATCGCAACCCCTCTATGATTTAAAAATTAAAAAAATATTAATTTGTTAATAAATTTTAAAACAGTGGTGCCTCTTCAGTCAACCGAAGAACATTATTTATAAGTCAAAAAATAATAAATTATAACGTGTTAGCTGCAGTAAATTTTAATGCTTACAAGCTATGGCTAAGTAACTAAAACACTAAAATGTATAGCACGTAATTATAAAAATAGATCTCAGTTTTTAATGTTGGCGCCTACTATGCCTTTCCTAAATACTTTGGGTGTATCATCGAAATTACTCTAAGTTCTTTTTGGTAGTTTCTTAACTAGTAATTGTGCGATCAGTAATAAAAATATTCGAGGTCACTATCAAAAACGTGTATCGCCTCTTAAGACATCAATACATCTCTTAGAATAAAGTGTTAATCATTATTAACATTGCTCATAAGTCGGAAAAAGATCTAGAGTTGCACTTTTAAATATTTAAAAGATCATATTTCAAATAAATAGTACGACCAAAGCTCCTCATAATATGTACACTTTCTAAGAGTTGTAATATATCTTTTACTTCAAATGTTACGAAGAAAAATTTATGCCTTCATTACGCAATGTATAGAGGGAATGGTGAACCTAATTAATAATATCGGCTTTTCAATAAGATACTAGATCTCATGTTAGTGTCTTAATTACCAGGAAAAAGACTAGTATTTTCGTCCATTGTTTCCACACCACCATTGAGGTAAATGGACTACTTCCATACTAATAAATCTTATACCAATCGTCATTAACTACTCTAGACATTAAACAACGTTTTGAGACTTTGTTATAAAATTTATCGTATAAGGAAGATGGCGCGTTGACTTTTTTTTTGTTAATATTATTTTTATCTTGATGTAAAGACCGTTTAGTCGGTACCTTAAATTATACGTAAAAATTTAATTACAGGTACTGATAACCTCTTTACATCGAAATAAGATAATAGAAACCGTGGTAGTCATCGCCAGGAGCCCTACCCATCCACGAAAATAAATTTTTTTACATTTGTTCCACTATGATCAAAATAATAACAACAACTCATAAGGAATTCACATGATAACATTAAATTCTACCTTGTTTGCTGTCGCCTTTATTGAACAGACTATTTCCTGCTCCTTATTCGAGAACTGTTTGATTAGTAAATAGGGGAAAACTTAGAAGTATCTTTAAGACATGTCATATGATTTTCACTACTCACATAAATGAGAAGGTAATTTAAATTTGTAGTTCCTAAAATTCGTATCGAATATTACTATTAGCATAATAAGTGTACCTATTATCAGAAACTAAATCATCAAATTTATTTGAAAACTCTAATCTTTAACCGACGGTCCCTAAAATTATAAATTGTGGTTTCTGTATTGAAAACTTTTTTTCCTTATTTATCAAGCTTCAATAGGAGATTTAAAACATCTTACTTAAATACCTACATTGGGATTCGTGTATCTAGACTTGGCAGTTCAACTGTTTAATATAATCAGAAGTACGCCAATCGTAAAAAGTCGGCTATTGTAATGCTTCCACTATTTCTTAGCATAGAATCCCAGCAAAAAGAAATATCTTCGTTAAATAAACCCATCATCAAATATCAAACATGTCATGACATTATTACAGATGTAAAAAAAAAAGAAAAATTTGCAAGTCCGACTCGCTATATTCTACAACTGCTACAACACAGAACTTCAGCATTTTAAAAGCGAACTTAATAATTTAAGACCGTAATAACTACATAATAAAATAACATAATTGATAATTATATTAAAACTTAACTCGTCTCCTATAAAATCTTCAGTCATTTAAAAACAAGATGAATATATTCGAAGGACTGAATATTTATGTCTAATTAATACCTAATAAACATATTTTAAATATTGTGTATGGACTAAATACTATGCCTAATCAAAACCAAATTAATATACTTAAAATATTGTGTATAAACTAAATACTTATGTCTAATCAAGACCTACAAAAAAAAAAAAAATTTAAGATAAGTACTGCATAAACTTTAAAGTTATGTCGAGTCGAGACCAAACAAATACGTTTGAAATAATGGAATAAGAGAATAAACAGAAGTAAAAGGTTAAATAAAGATCATATTAAAATAAATAAATACATGTCTACTTAAATAACCATTCATGCTTAAATCGTAATATGATTAACAATAATAACGAAATTTAAAGATATCTAGAAGCCTATAATATTGTTTAACTTCTGAACAAATGTCTACTTGAATACATGGATAACTAAGGCCTGATAATAGTCCTTGTTATTAAAAAACTGTTACTCTTACGATGAAACACGAAATAAAAGGTGCACAAATAAGATATTCATAGAAAATGATATGAAAGAATACAATGTAAAGTGTTTTACGGTTATAAGGCTGAAATGTCGAAGCAAAAAAAAAAAAAAATATATAATAGGGTTCTAGAAAAAAAATGACCATACATAAAAGACTTTTCGAACAAATAATATGCTAAACTGACGCAAAAACAAAAAAAAATAAAAAAAAAAAAGGGAGAGAGTACTCAAACTAATCGAAAAGTATTCAGCCTACATATCACATAATTAGATTTAATAAAATAAGAGCTTATTCAGCACTACATACTTGCTTTTGGCATATTAAATATCATCTTGCTATTCAACCAGAGCGAAATTGTGAAAAGGCCCGTTGTGGCCCCTCGCAAGCCTACCACACAATTAGAAAAAAAAAAAAAAGTAACTAGCTATAAACAAATGAAAGACAATATTAACCGTAAAACCCATAAAATTTATAAATTTTATTTGAATTATTGTGCTATACAAATGCAGGAGCTTTCAAGCATACTGCCCCTGCTAAATTTGAATTGCACCTCATCTCTTTCGAAAACGCCTTGCCATTGGTCATTCCAGTATGACGTCATAAAGACATATTGTAGATCATAAAAAAATAGGAACATACTGAGATCCTTCAATCTTCTTAAATATTTATTTACTGTTTGTAATGATAGCATATGTAGGTTAGTATGGAAGCATAATTAATTTATATAATCTTAAGCATCTAATGATTATAATTTTCTGCTGCATTCATTACACTAGTCCTATTCTAAGAAGAAATTTCTAATAAAAATTTGACATCCACCTTAAAAGTAACGGCAACTCGCCAACTCATAAAGATACTAAATTATATGTGAAATTTTTTAAAATAAAATAAGCTTCTTATACAATGAAAAAGTCATTAAGCTCTGTATTATGAAAAAATTTTAAAGCACATTGTTGGTTTGGAGCACATTTACCAAGCTTTAATGAGAAAAAACTAAAAAAATTATATTTTTTTTGGTTCACAGAAATAAACAATACACAAAACATTATTTGCAAAGTAGACAAAAAACTTTATGTACAGTGTATCACGGTTTACCAAATACCATTAAAAACTTAATTAAAATCACGAGTAACTCTTAGAACATCTCAGAAAACCTACAATTGTATGGACGAATAGCAAAAGACACTGATTATGCTCTCAGATAAATCAAGTAATATTAAAATTTGATATACAACTACGAAATTTTTC